AAACTCAATATGAGAAGTTGTCCTGTCTGCTTTCTTTCCCCATATAAGCCCAGACTATGCAGTACATCCGCTGAGAAAAAAAAAAAGATAATGGCACTAATTTGGCACTTTACTGAAATAGTGGAGCATTCTGTGCAGTATTTGGTTATTAAATATTAGGTTTTAAATATATAGTTCTATACATAAAGTTAAGGAGTAACTGGAAGGTGCAGTGTTTGGATTGTGCGTTTGACAGTATGTAAATGGTTTCTATCCAGGTGCCGGTGAGCCAAACTTCGATGCTCTGGATATGAACCCATACCGCAGCACCAAGCAGAGGCAAGAGTGGGAGGTCAAGGCTCTGCTGGAGAAGGTGCAGCCCGAACTGATCAGCTTGGACCCAGGGCTGCTGGGTAAAGTGGACCAGACCACCTTTGAGCAGAAACATATGGAGAGAGTGGAGGCGTTGGTGAGTTCACTAATCATACAGACAGCACACACAGAATTTTTTTTTTTAATAAATAAAAGCATTTGAGAAGAGCTGTTTTCAATTCTTGTATTTGGTCCGTGAACCAGCACTTATATATTTTTTTATACTCTCTTCTTAAATTACTGAAAAAACAGCAAAGTTTATGCGATCAGAAATGAGTGAGGGGCTGGAAGTGGTTCTCTAAACAAGAAGTGCTAAGGAAACACAGGTTTTTGTGTTGAATGAATGTTCAGATGAGCTAATGAGCTAACAGAATTAACCGGTACAACACCGGATGCTGAAGGTGACTCATTTTCGTCATACAGGTGGATATGCCAACATGTTAGTTTGTCAGAGAAATATATTTTCACTGTTTCTAGACCAAGCTAACATCACCAAGAGTGGTTAGCCTACTTAGTGTTGTTGCCAAGCCCATCAGAGTGTAATATACTACATACTCACAAATGAGTTGAACCTGTGGTCTCTTTTTTTCGTTTATCTTTCCACAATAAAACATAGTAAATATCTGAATAGTGATTAAAGTAATTGTTTACTAGCACCTCAAATGATTAATACACATAATAATGTCACAGTTTCAATAACGTCGCTTTCAGGCCCCCTGATCTTTACGACACTTTTATTTTTTATTGAGGACATCAAGTTACATACTTGTTCGTTTTTATTTCTTTTAATGATGTCTTGAAGTCTGTGACACACAAGAATTAACAGAGTCTGAGTACTTTTTCTGGAGATGTTCCACTTGGCTTTTATTACAGCAGTATTTAATTACTGAATATGAGTAAGAAGTGTGTGTGTTTATGGGAGAGTCCCTCCCTAAGGCTGCACCTGATCAGGTGGACGACTGCTTTATCAGCAGTCATTTTTGCAAGCTTTGCATCAGCCAAAGAAACTGCATTGCTCAGCAAAAGCGTGTTTTTATAATGCCATGTTCTATTCGCTGTTTACACCAACACAAGTGTTTCTGTTAGTGTAAATGAGTGAAATGTGTATATGGACCATTTTACGAAATTAGTTCGTAGTTGTTTTAAAGAACAGTTAAGTGCTCAGACCTTACAAATTTCCAAAGATAATGTGGTGATCTCTTGAAAAGCAAAAGCATTAATTGAGAGAGTCATAAGCTAAATTTTTAGCACTTGTAAAGTACTTTCTATTGGGAGGTGGCTGTCCCAAACCCGAACCCCCAAGCTGGAAGATTTAGATTTATCACGAGTTGAATTAAAACAAAAAACTTAATTTAAAAAATACTGTACTATGTTTTCTGTCAGTCTTAGTCCATAGGCGGGGCTTTGTTTTAGCCACTCCCCTGCATTTAATGGCAGGAAGTGAGACTGCATCCCTGTCCATCCTGGCTACGTGGTGAGCAGTTAGTTCTCATTTTTTTGAAGTAAATGTTTCCCCATAGTCTAAACATCAGTGAGAAACCGATGTTTAGACTATACCGAAACACATTTTCTTCAATTAACTAAACTTTTTGTGTTGTAATAAAAAATATTGTAATTTTGTGTGTGCAGTTGTTCAAAGCTGTGTTTGCTTGTCATGTGCTGGCTAGATTTTTTGAGTTATGCACAAAAGTAGCTAAAATTGTCACTACTGAACAAAACAACTAGCAGAAGATCAGATTTTATTTGATTATAGAAATCTAGTTTCTTGCAGCACAACATCGTGTAAAGTGAAGTAGGTCATATGATTACAGTAGTCAAAGTAAACAAGTAGCTAGGCATTTACTACTTTCTTTATTTTAAACAGACTCATTTTATAGCAATAGTTTGTGATATTTCTGTTTTTTATATGAAAGAGTTTAAAGGGGATTCTATCAATTTTTCAAATTCTCAACACAAATCAATCGTTAAGATGTAAACAAAGTCATTCAGAGTGGTTTGATGTGAAATGATTCACTGTAGAGAAACTTACAGACGCCGATTTCACTGGTGGTGATAGGAACCCGGCGACCCGATGTCTACTACACAAATATAGCCATTTTATTTACTCTCCAGAACCACCAGTGAACCTACACATGTCTTCTGAATTTTTATGTGTAAGAGTTATAAATCTGATAAGTTTTCTTTGGGTATTACTTTGCCTTATAACGTCCTACAAGTACCTCGTACAATGAATTTGTTTAAAACATTTTATAGGCCTTATAAAATATTTTAGAAGCCTTGTCTCAAAACTGTTGTAAATCCAAGTTTATGGTACTTTAACCACTGTATTTCGTGTGTGTGTACACAGCAGTTAAGTAAGCAGCATGCAGATAGATGTTTATGTGCCTTTTGTCTTTCTGAAGGACCAAAGGCTGTATCCACTAGGCGGGACAAAAAATGCCTTCCGCAATTACTTTTTCTGATTTAGCACAACAGGATGAGCACAACTGCCGAGGAGACTCACCATTGTAAACAGTTCTGATGATTTCTCATCAAACCTGAATGACTGTTACATCTTAACTATTTACTATGCAGAAATTTTGAAACACTGGTGGAGTTCCCATTCAATATAAAGAAAGACATGTTGAATGCCATGTTGTTGGCTATGCTTTTTATGTGGTAGGGTATCAGAATGGGTAGTTTGAGTAACATTCTACATGCAACATACATTGGCATCATAGGTTTTTATATTAATAGGTAAAACTGCTAATTTTTCATCTTTTTTTTTATATCTGTGTTTCAGGGTTATGACCCATTAGCAGTTGAAAAGTTCAAGCCAAGAATGAAGAAAAGAGGCAGGAGTGCAGCTGGTGCAGTGGAGAAGAGGAAGAAGAAAGTCGCCCATGAGGATCAGAGGGTATTGCCATACAAACACACACACAAAAGCTTTATTTTCTTTGTTTACTCAAGGCCTTTTATATTAAGCGTGTAGCACAGACACCTCTCCATCACCCTCGTCTCAACTTGTGCTTTCTGTCTTCTTCCTGTAGGATGTGATTCGGAAGTCAGTGGAAGAGAGAATGGAGAAGGAGAGGAAAGAGAGTGCTAAGGAACAGCTCAAAGAAGTGAAGAAGACAGCTCTGGATCGATTCAAAAAGTAGGCCAAGCAGCGCTGGGTTGCAGAAGGCATGCTGCTGTTGACTGACCTCTTGGGGGGATAAAAGACTGACTCACAAAGGGGACCTTTCTGTCATTGTTCAGAGACACTCACTGAGACTTACTGTTCTGTTTGGAGTTTTAGGATGATTCACCCCAAAAGCAGTCCAACCCCTTTATCTTTTTTGTGTGAGCTGTTTATAGTAACATGTCATAAATCTTCTCTGCTTTGAATTTGTACTAAACAGTAAAAAGTGTAATAAATTCATACATCACCAAAAAGCCCAGTTATAATGTGCTGACCTTTTGTAAATTTGAAAACATTTGGTAAAACGTACCCTCCTATAATGTTTAGGGTCAGTTTTATCTCATTCAGTGTTTCATGTCTCTAATTAAATGATTGACATCATATTTTTTTTGCTTCGTATTTAATGATTTTTCCTAATTTAATGGGAGCAACTGGGTAAACATAAAATTAGCATATGTTTTCAATGCCCTGTACACATATTGAGATCACTGCAACATACAACTCTCTTAGGGCCCTGACCTAACAGAACCACGCCCATATTAGTGTGGGAAACCACTTATAGTTCATACGACATGGAGAAGAGTGAAACATAATTCCCACCAGAACTTTGATATTTCCTGGAGGTTTAAATTGCTGGGGTCAAACTGACTCCAAGGATAAAAGAAGTTAGTAAATTTAAAGATAACAGGAGGATTAAAAAAAACCAAACATTTTATTTGTCTTGAGACAAACATTCTGGGTCCAGAACACCAAGAAAATTCCATGGTATTTGGTTGGTTAGTTGAAAACCCCTAAGCCTGAAGGATATGTATATCCATTAAACTGTCCATAGCTACATAACAGTCTGCTTATAAGCTGCTTTTAATCATAAGTAAACATGTTCGGCATATAAATACTCAGAAAAGCAGCACTGCTGTGTCTGATCCACTCATACCAGCGCAACACATACTAACACACACCACCACGTCAATGTCACTGCAGTGCTGAGAAGATCCACCACCCAAACAATACCTGTTCAGTGGGGGTCCTGAACATTGAACAACAGGGTAAAACAGCGAGGAACAGTAAATGAAATAAAAATGACAGCAGCAGAGTTTGTGCCTTTTCAGTAAGTATTTTATATGTATTCTGAATATTTTATGTATTGAAATATGTTTCTAAATACATTTAAAATAGTATATTCAGTATTCAGCCAGCACTACTTTATTCTAAGTATTCTTTTCAACTCTGTAATTATACTATGTTCTCAGACTGAATATACAGTATGCATGTACATACATCTTTCACTGGAATCCTGCGTATAGCTTCTGTTTTTTGTTGGTTGTAAGAAAAGAAAGATGACTTTTTCTCATGCCCGCACCTCCCTTATAAAATGGGTGGAGGTAGAGTATATTTTCGTTTTCCTGGTTTTGTGCTGTGTGCAGTGTCTGAACGTTGACCTGATTTGCTCCCACACATCACACACATGCAGTAATTCATATGAATTACACCAATGGAATTTTGTGCTTTATTGGGGATGTTACATGTCTGACACGTCCATGTTGTACAGAGCAGATAACACACGTTCATGTATGAGCTCTTATTAAAGACACACATTGCACATCAACATAACTGGAACCTAAAGACATCCTCAGAAAGTATGCAGTTCTGAGCCAGTGTTCTAGAGCTACTGTGATAAAGGAGTGATTAACCAAGAGGGGCATTATACACTCTACTTCAGCTGGGGTCTGAGGTTCAAGGCTACATGTAAGGAAAAGTTCAGACAGGCCATAAATGCCAAACTGTTGGAAACTGTTCTAGTGTAGGTTAAATTGGAACCATGCTGGATGCTACAGTACAGTGCAAAAGTCAAAGATCACCCTACATTTATTTACTTTGCAGTCATAACGGCCATTATCTACAAGGTATTCATTTCTGAGATTCCACAGGTGTTTCTGTTCATTCTTGCACTGTGAGACAACAACTAAATGCTATGAGTCTGAAAGTATGTGTTGCTGTCAAGAAGCTATAACTGACAAAAAGAAACTGCAAAAAAGTAGAAAATTTGCGAAATGGAAAAGTGCTGCTGGTGTTCTCAGAACAAAGGACTGACTACCCCAACAACCTAAACATCTCTGAATGTGTTTGGGATTACTTGGATTGTGAGAAGCAAATAATGCAAACAACTTCTAAGACTGAACTTTGGAGCTGCAGAAAAATATCCCTGCAGATTTCTTTGAAAAACTGAAAGTCTCCTGAAAGAATGGAAGTTGCAATCAAGGCAAAGAGTGGGTGCACTTAATACTGAAAAATCTGATATTGTATTTAGTAGTTGTGATTTTCTGTTAAATGTTTCCTTCACTTTTCCTGAAAAATGAATAATTTAATAGATAAATTAAAAAAGTAAGTCCTCAATGGCTGTTTTGGTGGGAAATTAAATTAATGAAGGGCGGTCTCTGACTTTTGCACAGTACTGTATAAGCTTTGCTAAATGCTTACATACAGACACCACCTACAGGTACCAGATATATAAGGAAAAATTGTGCAAATGCAAACTAAACAGTCACATTTTATATTTTTCATCACTTATTTCAATTTAGTCTAAAGGCATAGGCACAACATTATTTCTCCTGTCGTTTAACCAGTTTCCTGGTTAAGTCAAAGCCTGAAATGAAAATTGGTTTCAGTGCTGGCGGCAGTTTAGTCCAAGACTAGGCCTTAATCCACACCTGGGAAAATGCAAACAATCTGTACCACATTCTAATAATTCTCTGTAACCGTGAGAAGCTTGTTGAAATACATAAAACATACATCCATACATGAATAAATAAATAGATGTCCCTTGTGAGCGTTAGAGCCTGCTAGACACTCCATTTTTAGCACGCTGGTCCACATCTTTTGAGATCTTTTGAGATCATCTAATACTCTGACCTATTTTTTTTTTCTCTGATCTCTGACTAAATGTTCCACAATTAAGCTTTCTAAGTAAAATCATTAACCATATTCATATATTCCTACTAAATAATCCCATGATTGCATTGATCCAACTAGAAAGAGTCCTCATACATGTTGAAATGCTTGTATGCACCAAATTTACCACAGTTACTTGTTAAATCTCCTGTTGAAAAGGTTCAAATAAAGTGTATGCAGTTCCAGTCTTGGAGGCTCACAACTAACATTCTAGTACTCAAGTGCATATTACTTTTTCCACTTGTCCCAATCTTGACATCAATTTTGACTATTGACTACTTTTACTCAGTCGGGTCTCGGTCTCAGGTACCGTAATTAGCGATATCTTTGAGTGCAAGGCTATCTTGCGTGCAGTCACAGGTAAAAATCTGGACTTGGACAATCGTCATCTACTCTTTTAAAAAGATCAAGGGTTCTTTAGCAAAGGGAACGCTTCTATTTAGAAACATGAGTTCAATAATGGACCATTTCATTCTTAAATGGCTCTTTGCATGGTGGAACAATGGTGATGCCAAGCTTGTAACAATAAAAGAACCCTTTTTCTGTTAGGAACCATTAGGTTCTATGTAGAACAACGTGCAACACATTTCACCATGCAAAGAACCATTTAAGCATAAAAAAATGGTTCCATATAGAACCATAAGTTCCCTTTTCCCTTACCAAAGAACCCTGTCTTTACTTTTTTAAGAACTGGCATTTACAGCATGTTTCAACATCAAAATTTCTGTGTCTTTTCCTTTTCTGGAATAATAACACTCCTCTTATTTACGCTATGCTAATTGACCTCCAGTGGCCTTTCATGGTCTGTTAGCAGAGTGTGCATGGCTGAGTGTGACATTGCCTTAAGGTCACGCAGAGAGAAGGCTGAGTGTAGACTTGCACGTCAGTGCAGCATCAGTCTAGCTCCTGCTGGACTGCTTCACAGGCATTCTGAACACAGCTTTTCCGCACACTGTGCTACCTATCCGAGATGAGTTTCAACATGATGACCTGTTGATTATTCACAGTTCACTCGCTAGACATCACACTTACACAACACATACAGCACGACTAAAAATAACACAGGCCGGAGCCCCTTCTGGCAATTTGCTATTTGGTCTGCTTAACAAAAATGGTCATTTGTGTAATTTTAAATTACCTCTATTAGCTATTTAATATTAGCAATGTTAGCAAGACGTTCTCCTTTAAGAATCTGACCTCTTTCTCCATGAGGCATCCTATTTCATGACTTTGCATAGCTCCTGTATCCATTTACTTTAGTAAACAGAAAATGTCCTTCCTAGTTTTTTTGTGGATTCAACTAGATTTTGCATAAATCTTCAAGGAGCACTTACGAGAGTTTGCATCTTTTCTTTCTTTGGGAACCTGAGTGTTGAGATAAAAGGAGAGATTGCAAAGAGCAATTATATCTTATTATCTGAATAGAATTAGTGTAGGTCACTTTGCATTTCTTAAGTCAGTATTGTACCTATTTTAGAACTTGAACATGATCTTGAATGTGCTTTGCTTTACAGACTCAGATACCACTATCCTACCGTTCATGTCACCTTTGGCAATGTGCATCAGGGAATTAAAAGCTGTTCAATTTGATAGAATGCCCTAAAAGCACACAGATGGGTTAAGTGAGGGAGTTAAAAGCATCATGGGATTGAGTATTGAACACTGTGAAAGTTCCATTTAAACTGAATGACAATGAAATGGAAAAAAAAATGGTGCCATAAACAGCCTAGACATCATGTACTAGTCCTCAAGGCATCCATCCAAGGAAGACCACGTTCAAAAATGAGGTAATTTAAGTTTAACACGTCCCGTTTTGAACAGTCCATTGCACTCTCGTTGCGAGGCATTCTTCATTTGCAAAAAAGCTTTGTTACAAAGAAGTAACATATCGTCACAGTCGGAACAAACTCTGTATTTTCTTTTTTTGTTGCATAATTTGAGAATGCCAGTTGCTGTTTCCACTGTGTTCAAATTTCATGGTGAACAGACCAATAGAAATGGTCCAAAATGACTCTGAATAAAATGTTTGTACATTTACTTACATTGGAAGGTAAATTACTGTTTTGGTGAGATTTTGTTCCAACACTGACGATGTACAAAATACATACAAATATCTTAATCAGTCATTTGTCAAGAGCATTTTGAGTATACAGTGAGTAAGCACAACTTCAACTGGAAGGTTAAACATAACGTTTTGGAAAACGATGACCGTCAGTTTTGCTGCTACTTGTAGAACATTTAACATGTAGAATGTTAGGGCTGATGCAGACTGCTGTTTACAGCTAACACTGAGTAGTGGTGAGCTATGTGGATTATACTTTTGACATTTTTTCAGCGTTTTGACCTACAGAGACGTGCTCAGGGAATAGTGAATACAAATACAGTACAGTGCAAAAGTCCACCCTTCCTTTTTAATTAATTTCACCTTTTTAATTAATTTCATTTCCAGTCAAGCAGCCATTAAATGTAAGTTATTTATTATTCAGGAGATTATCTAAAAACATTAGATGTAAGATGATTGAGTTGCATAACAAAGTGGGAAAGTAAAAAAAAAAAAACATCTGTGAAAAAAAAGAGTTTTGGCAAAACTGGAGTTTAACAATTGCAGATATAGAGAAAATCGCACAAGACCTGTCAGACCACCAAAAGACCATCAGATAAACAGTACTTGAAGCTTGGAGAGACATGGAAAAAAAAAATCCAGCTCCACTCTTGCTTCAGATCTGAAAAATCCACAAGTGTTTCTGTGGATGAAAAAGGAGAAAATTTGCAAATCAAACAAAGAAGCTGCCAATGGTCTGATGACCCCAGAGTCCAGATCTCAACATCATTAAAAGTGTACTTGGGTCATAAGAAGCAACCAACTTCTATAATGGAACTTTGGAGGTGTGGAAAAATATCCCTGCAAATTTCTTTAAAAAACTGAAAGCAAGTTTTCTGAAAAGAATGTAAGCTATAATAAAGGCAGAGGACGGACACAATAAATACTAAAAAAAAGTGTGTATATTTAGTTATTGAGGCCTCTGTGTAATATTACAATAAATAAATGCGTTCTACTTTTTTCATGTTGCTGAAAAATTAACAGTTAAAAATTAAAAGTTAATTAATTATTTTTTTTTATTTTCTTAATGACCATTTTACCTGGAAATTAAATAAATGAAAGCTGGTCTCTGACTTTTGCACATTACTGTACATTCAAGTATTTGATGCTTTGCACATTATAAAAATAAAGCTACCTGTCAACAGTGCACAGTGACTCCTTGTATAGTATTTTATTCCATGTATGATTCTTCAGACTTGGCAACCTCATAAAACGTTCACAGACGTTCTCCTGCTGGCTCTCCAGGTGTTTCTCCAGATGTTTATGACCCAGATCTTAGCCAGTTTCCCAAAACTGCTCTCATTTTGCAAATGCCAAGTGAGATCCGGACCCCCAGCCAGGAGCATGGTGCTGTGGAATGCACATCTGCCCAGTAGCGGAGCATTTCTTCTGGCTTAGTGTGGTGAACAGACACCATGGCCTGGTAGCAGCAGCGCCCATACGGCACAGGCGGTCCTCCAGAGAAGAACGGGCAGTGGGTCGGAGTGATGCCTGCTGCATGGGCACACAAACCCACAAACACATCCTCAGGAGGCAAGGGTTTGGGTAAAGGTGTAGCAGCGGCTGCTAGCGATAACCTTAGCACAGCAGGTCGAGAAAGAACGTACGCCGTTCCGCTGCAGTAATCGGGAAAGACCGTACCTCCGAAAGCAGCTTCGGAGAAGAAGTGCTTGCTGGCCGGGTTGCGGTCCGGGGCCACCCCCATGTGGACCCGGCCAAGATAAAGGTCTGTGAGTTCATTTTCTGATCCCCCCCAGTTGACGTTAAGATAGTGTAACAGTGCGCTTGGGTTAAACATCACGTCGTCGTCCACTTTGGCTAGGAAGCGGGCCTGTGGGCAGAAGCGCCGGGCCCAAGCCAGCATGGACAGCGTCTTCAGAGTCAAGTTAGTGTAGGAGTCCAGGAAGCGACCCTGCACCAAGTCCCCTCGCTCGCGTGCCTCGTCCACTAGTTGCTTGGCCAGAGCCGGGTCTGACGCCTGACCCACCATGAACAGGGTCATAACCCTGTGGCCTCTGACTTGAACCTCCCCACCCCAGCTGTCACGGATAGCCTGCCGAGCCTTCTGGTTGGCAGGGGCTGAGGTCACCAAGGTGATAAGGTATGGCTTGGCACGTTGGCAGACCAGGGGACTTGGCATGAGAAGGTACTCCTCGGGGCGGGTGGGAGGCATGCTCTGAGGGAGAACCCCTCCATGGGCACCTCCTATTCTACTCATTCCTAGAGAAGTCATCCAGGACTCAATGTAGTCAATGAAGAGGACTGCAAGGAGACAGATGAATACCAGCAGGCACAAGACAGGGACCAGCCCAGGATGCCCTCCTCGCTTCCCCAGACGAGCCTTACATGCCCGAAGACCGCAGACCAGCATTCCTGCAGATGACAGTTTAATCACAAACCGTGGGGGTCGTTGCTCTGTGCACTATTCATCAAGCTCACTCCTTTTACCTTCCCTGCTCCACATGCTTTCTCTCCTGTCTAAAATAGGTTAAGTCTGAAGTCCAAGGTTAGAGCACAGCTTGGGCAGGTGGGAACTTCAATTTCACTTCAGCACTGCATGAAAAGAAACCAAACAATTAGGTGAATATTGAGGATACAATGGGTTCTTCTTGGTGAAAAAAAGGTTTCTACTATGTACTATCCTACTGCACATAAATGCCTACAACATAAAATGTAATTCAAACATATAATGCAACAGAGATCCATGGAATAAACAGGAAACGTAAGTAACCTTGTGGAACAACTCAGAATTGTAACATTTTAATGTAGTACATCCAAAACATACTCAGTGAATTTGGATAATAATTTAGCATACACCACATAGAAACGTACGGACTACGGAGCCCCCTGACATGGTAATTATTTTTTAATAAAGCGTGGTCACAAATTACTACACTGAGGCCATAAATTAATATATTGAGGACACAAATGAATATATTTGGGCACATTAAAAAAGTTCCTCTCGTGGCAATTTGTGGCTTCAATATAGTAAACTGTGGCCACGATGTAGTAATTTGTGTACTCAATACAGTAACTCAATACATTAATCAATTAATCCGTAGAAACGCATTTTCACGGCTGAATCTTATATGTGACCTCACATAAAAATTTACTGTGAAAAAGACGAATTAAGTAAATGTACAATCCTGTACAAAATCCGGACAATTATGGACGCTTCTGGTCGAAAAGCTGTGCCAGGAAATAGCAGCCTACACTTAGCACACTGCTAATAATGACGAACAACAACAACCGCCACACTGAGGAAATATGCAACATAGCGAGGTGCTGTAGCTCATTTTAGCTTCCCAACGCTTCCAATACAACGAAAACTATAACATAATATTTTAATTTTTCCGTTCCACCTTAAGTGGTGCAGCAGTTTTGTTCGTTATATTGCCGGTAATGTAATAAATATCAGTGTTTGATATTCTGAGGAGAACAGCAGGTGAAAACAGATTCAGTCATACAAACCTTTATCTTCCAGGTTGGTCTCGCTCACATTCTCCGGGTCCAGCTGCTGTCAGGTCGATGAGAGCATTTTACACACGCCCCCACAGACCACCACAAATCGACCCCACATCACATGGGCGTGTTGTAGAGGAAAAAAACTAACAGATGCATGTCCATGAAAGCTCTTGTGATAATCAGCCTCAGGAATACAACACGTCAAAGCCTACGAACTGCGTATTTCCTTTTGACTTCCAGTGCTCGTTCCGGAGGTTTTCTGGTGAAACGCACTGAATGCCCATGATTTCAAGACGGTCACAGTTCTGGGGCGCTTCCTTTTCCTGGAGCTCGCTGCGCTCTAACTGCGTAGAGCTGTGCGTGCTCGGTGCGCCATCAGGCGGTGCAGTCCCGTCATTGCCATTTTCTGAGTGATGCTGTGCTCATTGATCAGGGGGCCTACGATTTTTGAGCTGGTTTCCCAAACAGGGATTAAGCCTAGTCCTGCACTACGTTTTCATTTTAATGGTGAATCTCCATTGAGAATACTTTGTAGTCCAAGATAAGGCTAAACCTCTGCTGAGGGAAAACAAAGTGCAATGTTTGTTGCAGAAAAGTATAGATCCCCACTGGTCAGATCCCTTCTTAATAAAAATAATGCGTCGCATGACTTATTGAGGTACAGAATCCTGCTGGTAACATCCCATGTAAATAAAAATAATGTGTTAATAAGGCATGATCCCGTTCCCACAGCTTACTTCGTCATGGCCACGACCTAAATTTCTCGTTTCCATGCCTTACTAAATCGTGGCCATGCATTAGCATTAAAATAGAGAGGCCTCGACTTAGTAAGGCATGGGAACGAGTTATTTGAGTTGTGGCCATGACTTAGTAAGGTGTGGGAACGAGATCATGTCTTATTAAACTGTGGTCAAGGCATAATTATCTCATTCCCACGTTTTACTAAGTTGTGGCCATGCAGTAGGATCTCGTCCCCATGCTTTACTAAGTCATGGCCACGACTTATTTATCTCGTTTCCACGCCTTAGTAAGTTGTGGCACGCATTATTTTAATTTAAGCAAGATGTCACCAGCAGGTCTCCGCACTAAGGCATGGGAATGTGATCTTAATGCATAGCCACAACTTACTAAGTCTTGGGATTGAGACAGTTCAATCACTTGGTGAGGCCACTGGACTCTGGAGCAGTGAAAATGTGTTCTCTGGAGTGATGAATTACACTTCATTATCTGGCAATCGGGGTTTGGCGAAGGTTATGAGAACGCTACATACCAGGATACATAGTGCCAACAGTACAGTTTGGCAGAGGAGGGATAAATAGTCTGGGTTTTTTTTTTTTTAGGGTTTGGGCTCGACCCCTTAGTTCCAGTGAAGGGTGATGTTAATTCTACATACAAAGACATTTTAGGCAATTATATACTTCCAACTTTGTGGCAACAGTTTGGGGAAGACCCTTTCCTGTTCCAGCATGACTGATGAGTTTGGTGTGGAGGAACTACAATGGCCTGCTCAGAGCCTTGACCTGAACCCCACTGACCACCTTTGGGATGAACTGGAACATCGACTGTGAGCCAGGCCTTCTTGCTCAGCATCAGTGCCTGACCTCAGGTGCTCTTTTAACTGAATGGGCATAAATTACCACAGACACACTGCAAAATCTTGTGGAAGGCCATTCCAGAAGAGTGGAGGCTGGTGTGGCCACAAAGCAGGGGCAACTCTAGGTTGATTCCTATGATTTAGGAATGGAATGTCCAACAAGGTCACATAAATGTGATGGTCAGGTGTCCACATACCATATAGTGTATGTTTGTGGGATTAGGATAACTGCATGGTGGTGCAACTCAAACATCCTCATTGGCTAACTCCTAACTCTGGGCATCCCTGTCGTCCATCCCTGATTATAGATTAGATAGTAATATATATATATGTAAAACAGCATTCATACGCACCATTTGAAGGAACTGACTCTCTACTGACTGCTAATTTGCATTGCCTACATTAGATCAGTTTAAGCTCGCTAGACCTTTGCTTTTGCTGCTTTTATACTGAATGCAGTATGAGAATTTAGTACAGTGAAGTTATTAATATCTCTTTTGTGTCTAAGAGTATTCTCTGTTTGCTGTCATTTTTGGTGAACACTGCACAGGCCTAGAAGGGTTATTGATCCTATTTTGTTATTTCATTGGATGAGATCCAAGTCATGTGACTGTTTCCCTCTGAGTGAGCACAATGGCATTTCTGTCTTCTGAGTAACCCACACAGTGCACTTCTATAGTGATTGGTGTCACCTGATGTCACTGCGTAGGTTACACTCACACTTAACGTTGCTGTCCTACACACTAAAAAAAGATAAAGGCAACCATGAGTCCCATACAGAATCATTTCATGCTTAAATGGTTTTTTGCATGGTAAAATGGTTCTTCAGATTGACAGAACCTTTTTGAAAATGGTTCTATACAGCACCACAAAGTATTCTGCTAGGGTTCTGGTAACTTTACAGGAAAAAAAGAAAACATTTCTGTTGGTTCACTCGTCATGAAATGTTCATGTAATTTTCAATCTAAAAGAAAGTTGTAAAGTATTAGACAGATTTTTTAAAAATGGAGGTATGTGTTTTTTAAATGATAGCAATGATTTGCAAGTACCTAAAGATTCTTTCAGATTTATAGAAGTGTCCCCTCTTATGTTTTCATATACAGCCACAAGAACTTTCATAATATATAAAAAACTGCTTCAGTTAAGCTTTCAAGAGAGCCTGATCATACATAACTGACAATCATGTACAAGTTTACATTATCATGGTATTGTGTGGTAGGGCTAAAGTTGCTACCAGTGAGACCAAACTGAACTAACAGCCTTTCTGGTGTCACCAGTGAAGACACACACACACACACATACATATGTGTGTGTGTATATATATATATATATGCAATAAATAGAAAGTAAATAGATAGCAAATAAATAGAAACTGTGTACTATATATATAGTGCACAGTTTCTATTTATTTGCTAGGTTCAAAATATATAAGCATATAAAATGTATAAATGGACGTGTTAATTTCTTTTCACTTAAAATCACCCCATTTTAATGTTAGACTGTGAATTCCTGGATATGTTTGTTCCCTGTGCCCTGAGGTCTTTATGGCCCCACACTAAACTACTTGTGTCACTTCCTTTTTTTTTCAATCACTGTTTTTTTGGTACGTATACAAACATAGACAGTAATATATATATATATATATAAGACAGCATTCATACACACCATTTGAAGGAACTGACTCTCTACTGACTGCTGATTTGCATTGCCTACATTAGATCAGTTTAAGCTCGCTAGACCTTTGCTTTTGCTGCTTTTATACTGAATGCAGTATGAGAATTTAGTACAGTGAAGTTATTAATATCTCTTTTGTGTCTAAGAGTATTCTCTGTTTGCTGTCATTTTTGGTGAACACTGCACAGGCCTAGAAGGGTTATTGTTCCTATTTTGTTATTTATACATAAGACGCTTTTCAAGTAATTAGTAACGTAATAAAAATCAATTCGTTATAAGTTACATAATCACAAATCAATATGCCGTATTCGTTAGAAAAACGAAAAATATTCAGATGATTTTTAAATTTACTGAATTTTTCTGCATATTACAAAAATATCACAGAATTACATATTTTCACACACAGACACTGTGAACGAATTCACAGTCCAATCAGCATTCTCCTACACGTGTAAGGAACAGATTAGCGTGAGCCTCAGCCAATCAGCGCTCTCTCCGGGAGGCAGACGGGTGACGTCGGCGCTGTCTGGCCGCCAGAGCCGCCGCTGCTGCGCGCGAGCAAAAAAAAAAACACAACACATACACACGCGCGCGCGCATACACTCACACACACTCCTCCCAACAGGCTGAAACGGGGTCACGAACTATGACCTTTCACAGTGCAAAAAACAATAACAAATAATTCGAAACAAACACAACGAGCGCGCCCTACATTCTCCAATCTCACAGGTAAGTCGCGTTTTTATTTTGGAATAATGTTGTCTAAAAATGAGCAGCATAATAAGCGGGCTTTTTTTCTCCATTTCGCTCGGTGACCAGAAGCCCGGTAACGGCAGGCCCCAGCGAGGCGATGCTGCTGCAAACCCGAACGAGGCAGGAGTTGGCTTCCTATTTGAATTTCCCCGTTCCACCTTAAATGCTGCAGCAGTTACGTCCTAGCGGCCTCCAGAGTGTATCTGCTGCACCGTTTAAGGTGGAACGGAAAATTCGAATAAAGAGCTGACTTTCAGCTTCGTCTAACCCGCTCCTTCGGGTCTTTCCCGAGATAAATGAACGGCAGACTTTAACAGCTGCCGTTGTGAAACAAAGCCACCTTCACAGACTCACTCCTGAACTACTGTCTGCTCGCACTGAAAGGGCATTTTTGCGCGCGTTCCTTGTTTTATCCTGAGAGAAAACCGAGCGCCATAACGGCAGTCAGCGTGAAGGTAGCCTGTTAGCTAGCATGTTAGCTTGTAGCTAGCGCTGGTGAACCCGACCCTTTTACCTTTGCCATCCCGGGGGCGCTGGGCGGCTTTTTTTCGGTTTTCACCGCCACTGAACGTGTAAAACAGCAGGCCCGTTAACTTTCATTCGCCAGAGTTCGCCTTTTTCGTGGTTTTCTAAGAAAAATTGGGCTGTCTTGAATTGATTTTAGACACACTGGCTGAGGGTTTGGCGTCTTTACGCTGGCGTTTTGCCAGCTTCTCCATTTTGTGGAATTTTTAAGACCCTTGACGTTTTGAGCAGCTTCTTAGCCCTCGGTTGACATTTCTTCCAGACATGTCACCGGTTTGTGCCGAATTGAATGAATAAACCGGTATTGCATTACACAAAAGAGACGCGTCGATGTAATTTACTCGCATATAATTTTACTAGACATGTTCATGAAATTCAATGGGATTGTGAATTTGACACACACGAACAGAGTTCTCCCGGAATACAGCAGCTAACGCTACATAACTTGTGGTTCCTTTTGTATTCAGAGCATTACAGAAAGTATTCAGAGCTTCGTTAAAGGCATTTCGATTCATACCAACGTCCTGTTACAAAACACAACTGCCTTCGTTGTACAATGTGTGATAAACGTCTTAACAGAGGGCTACTTATTGCAAGGGCAGGGCATATCACGTAATATCAAATAATGATATTAATCTGAGCTGCTTTGACCGTGTGCTCACGGTTCGGGCTGCCTCAGCCTCCAAGCTAGGTGCGCTGGGAACAGATTAAAAATAGAAATGCCGGGAAATGTGCAAGACGATACTGAACAGTGCTGGCGAGGGAGATTCAGTTGATGCATCGTGGTAGGATAAGAGTCAGCATCAAAAAATAAACAGAGAAGTTACATATAGTCCTAATACCGGGCGTGGGCGATATGACACCACGATACTGATGACATTTTCACGATACAAAACATTTATCGTGATATTTTGTTTTTGAAAGGTTTAATACATTGGAATGGACGAAAAGATAAAAAAAATACTGTAAAAATGATGATTGCAGTGGTTGTCATGTACATTTTGCATTTCACATATTGCTGTGTCCACAATGGTCCCCAGATCACTATACCCTACATTCAAATATCTGGATCACCATATAGAACACTATTATAGTGAACAAAATTTGTGATGATAGTAAATGATTTTGGACACTACATTATATGAGTTTGTTCATTACTGTGCAACAGCAGATTCCTCTGCATAAACACTATACATGTCATGCCACCGGGCCAGTGTAACCACAGAGTCTGACTGCACACGAGAAAAAGCTTACTGAGATTTCTAACAGGTCTGAATTGAGATCTGTGCAGACACTGTCAATGTAGCTGGGTTCGTTAATCCTTCTCAGAGAAGTTGCATGTGAATCTTCAAACCAAACAATGCAGTGCGTTATGGGTGTTCCCTATCCCCTAGGCTACATCAGTCGTACACTACTTGTTTCAGTGCATTGTGGGATTGTTTGAGTGCACTGAATCTTAGGCGCTATGTTTTCAGACACTGCTACAAAACGGCAAAACCCCCAAATAGTGCACTGTATGTATGTGATTGTGAGTAGGGCACAGTTTTGGACACAGCTTATATTAGTGTACTGCACTAAATCCAGTTAAGCAGGCCTCTCTTTGTAATAAAGCATGCAGTAGGTCAGTGTTCTTTAAGTAGCAATAATGTCCACAGTATGCTCAGTATCTTTTATACCTTTTTTAAAGTATAAAATGAAGTAGAATAAGAAGAATTTATCGCAATGCTAATCCACCCCTAATACTGTACTATACTTTACACTGTATTAGGGGTGGGAATCTCTAGGCACCTCACGATTCGATTCGATTACGATTTAGAGGGCTGCGATGCGATTATAAAACGATTATCCATGCATCTCGATGCATCTTTTTTTTCTATATAGCATTTATATTTTCTCACTGTGTGAGCTCAAGTTTCAAGTTCAAGTTTCAAGTTTATTTGTCACTTGCACAACATGTCAGGACATTTATGCGTTGAAATGCTAGTGGTGAGGCTCAGATAATAACTCTACAGAAAGTAAATAAGTAAAAATAAAAATACAAGAAAAACCAACTGAAATATATTAAATATACACAAAATATACACAGAATATAGAGACAGTATACATTTTAAAGTGACTGAGTGACTCGGGGTTATTGTTATTTAAAGTGACTTGGAACTTTTAAAGCAAAGTATTTGTAATGATCCATAATTAATTTACTTCCAATATCTTTTTTAATAAAACAAATGGAAGTGATGTGGCAAGTGAACTAGAAGGCTCTCATTCAGTGCTCTTGTTTGGAGCACGAGGAGCTGCTGCTACTCATCTGCGATAAAATGCGCAGTTATGGTGAAATAAGATCCAGTGGTGATGGAGGTCCACGCAGCACATGTTACAGCTATTCTACCTGTTTTCTTTAGTGATTTTATAACTTCGGTTTTGGTCTCGTTGTAGAGAGTAGGGCAGGGGAGTCGCTGTGTCAGTAAAGTATCTTTGAGACGGGTCGTGTGCAACATAGCGCGAAAGCCCTGTTTCGCAATGACTGCGAACCGGCGTGCAGACTGCAGGTCACATAGCAGCGATGCGTTATTCGCATTTATAAGCAGCGCAGTTGGTTTCCTGGTACGTTAAATCTGCAACGAGAGACTGTCAAACACTAAAAAGTGGCGAAGCTGAAGTCGCTTCTCTTTCGAATTCTCTCGTTCCACCTTAAATGGTGCCGCATTTACATTTGGCGCCTCAGTTAGAATTTAAGGTGGAACGGGTAAATTCGAACAAGAAGCTGGAGAATAAGAAGCAACTTCAGCCTCGTAAAACAGTCGAACGTTGAGAGACTTTTAACTGATCTACTTCTGAGGAAAAGTTTTCTGGCGGAGATGGGAGGAAAGCGGCTATAGCTAAAGCTTAAAGCAGAGCGAAGTAAATCTGCGTTTTCGTTTATATTGTTTAGTCTATACTAGGACATTAACACATACTGAGACATACTGGACATCAAATGTTGTGGCTCCCAAGCTGGTTTGATTTGTGTTGAAAGGACAAAATGGCTCTTCTTATCATTTGGGTTGTGACTCCTGATCTAACCTGGCTTTTAACGCAGAGGCTGCCGGTCGGATTTCTCCCTCATCCAGTAGTGTTTTTGTTATGTGCCGCCACAGACTGTCCGGGCGCTGCACTTCCGCACTTCCAAGTCCCGCCTTTTGCGTTCCGTCAACATTACGTTATAAATTAAATATTTAGAAAATCGATTTTTGACATTTGTGAATCGATTCAGAATTGTTCACGTCCGCATCGCGATGCATCTAAGAATCGATTTTTTCCCGCACCCCTACACTGTATATTGACATTGACCAGTCAGCGATCATGTTGTTTTTCTGTTGCATAACGTATATGATACATACTCATGTCTGCGTTATTATTAAGTACTTTTTCTTATTGTTACACTGTGTACCTCTTCTAATGAGTGAATTCAGTGACTTTAAGGTGCACCCATTGCTGAGACATTTAATTGAGCGCACACAGCTTGCACAGTCTCCATAAAAAAGCATTGCCAATAGAATGGGACCCTCTGGAGCAGCCACATATGAGCCTAAAGTCACCATGACCAATGCCAAGTATCAGCTAGAGAGTATAATCCTCCCCCCCTGCATTGGGCTGTGGAGCAGTGGAACTAATGGAGCTCCATCCAGTACCTTCAGGATGAACTGGACAGGTGTCTGTGATCCGAAACTAATCATTCATCATCAGTACCTAACCTCACTAATGCTCTCAGCAATGTTCCAACAGGTAGTGGAAAGCCTTCCCAGAACAGTAGATGTTGTTATTCCAGCAAAAGGGGGAAACAACTCCCCCTTAGTACCCTTAATTTGATGAGAATGTCTCTACAAACTTCACAAATCACTGCATTTTATCTTATTTTCATAACTTAACAGGTAAAGTGATGCAAAGCAAGTGTCTATGTGATTGTACACAGGGTCCTTGATCTTGGCATGTTAGTGCTGATCATATTGATAACTGAATAAACTGGATTATTTTAACAATTAATCAAGTAATCATAATTTTCAAAAACTAAAAGAAAACCTAAAATTATAAAATTGATATAACTGAACATTAACAAACCATGAATAGCCTTTTAAAGAACCAAAATGCTTTATACAGGTGGGACTGTTAACAAATGCGGCACTGGCCTTGGTCCAATCACACACCACTAATGACCTTATATCGCCATGACAACCAATGTGGAGGTGCTGGCTCAGCAGATAGTGACCACTGAGCAGGTTGCAGAGGTGAGTGATCTGTGTTTGTGTCCTAAGTGAATGCAAGAATGTTACTGAGAAAGCCAAGGACCTCCACTTAAAGCATAGGTTACTTTTTTTTTTTCGAGCAGCCTCTTAATGTTAGTATCATGCTGTCATTTGTGCACAATGCACATTTTTATCTCCAGGTCTATATTGAGTAATTTGTGTCAGCCGTTTTCTAATTACATTTTGCACCCATCTTATTACATTACTGAGCAAAAGTCAGTGACCACCCTTCATTTCTTTAATTTCTAGTCAAGTACAAGTTGTTCATTTTTTTTAGTTTCATCATCATTAAATATTTTAGTCTTAACATCATTAAATATCTTTTTGGTTGAAAACAAAACTAAGCAGTTAATTTATTATATTACAAACTTGAAATACCAGGAGAGTTGGCCATAGTTGTAAGTTAGTGGGTAATATTAGTGTGTCATCTAGCCAGATAGAGCTCTTCTGTGTTATCTATCTGCAAAGTATCTCTGGGTTTTTTCCCCTACTTTAAGCATTGTTTTACAGTAATAGTTGTCAACAAATTAAAGAAAATCAGTGTATTTGACTAAAAGTAATGACGGCAGTGTGTACAGGGCATCCATACCCCAAAAGCCTATTATTCTGTGTGACTGACGTTATGTGTTTGTGTTTCTGTTATTTTTTTACCTGCTATCAAATAGTATAAACATAAATTATTCTGTTTTTTCTATGATTTTCATTTTTTAGAGTATATTCTCGTACCTTGTGAAAGAGAGCGATGTTTGTTTATACTGTTCTGTGGAGCTCTTTGTGTAGGATGACTGGTCACCATGGAAACACTGCACTTGACCCTCAAAGGGAGAGTTTAGCAAGAGGACATCTTGCCCCCTGTTTCTTCATTTGCTCTGTGTGTATGTGATGTGCGTGATATCATTGTGATTAAAAACGGACGCTTATGTGTGTGCATTGCAGATGCAGTCATCTCCTTCAGGCAGCCCAGTGATGAATGCCTCTCCTCAGCGCATTCAGATCATCTCCACTGACCCCTCCGTCACCACTCCACAGAGAATACAGGTACATGCACATTGCACTTTCTTATTCCAGTGTGAATATCCATGACAGGAACTCGTTTTTTTTGTTGTTTTTTTTTGCACAATTACAATTCTTCTACAGTCATTCTCCATACATCTATGTACTGAGTTACACATATACAAAACAGTTCTGTGTACACATTCCCATACATTTGAAATAAGAACTTCATAATAATAACAACTATACTTTTGTCTCTCTGTCTTTTCTTTATTCAGATTGTGACCGATCAGCAGACAGGCCAGAAGATCCAGATTGTGACCGCAGTGGATCCTGCCAGTGTGCCCAAGCAGCAGTTTATACTGGCTGCTCATGACGGCACGGCGGCTGGCAAAGTCATCTTGGCATCCCCTGACAGCCCAAGCACCAAACAACTCATCTTTACTACGGCTGACAGTCTGGTCCCTGGCCGAATACAGGTAAACTCCCGAAAAGACACATAATACGTACTTAAAACAGGGTTAGTGGGATTTGCAAAGGAAGAACAGTCCCATATATTGGTGATTCTTCAGTTAAGGGCACATTTTGTTTAATTTCAGACACTGTTCAAAAAAGATAATCACACAAATATTTAGTTGCTATTATATTATAATTATAATAAGGGTCATCAAATAATGGGTTGTCATTACTATCTGTATGTGTCTTTACATCACACGTTTGGCTGAAATAGTAATGACAGTTCTCTTTTTTTGGAGGAAAGTTTTGGACTTCCATCGAATGTACATTAAAGGGCCCATTCTGTGCAAAACCAAATGTTACTCACTCTTTTGAAATAATAAGAGCTTATTTGGTGTATAAACAAGTTTCATTATTGTCCCCAGAGTCCATTCAACTTATATATGAGAAAACAGCCCATTTTTAATTAATTGATACTGTGATTCCACAGAAACCAAACGCATTTACATACTTCCACCTGTTCAGCTTTCAGCAGTTTAGCCTTATCACATTAAAGTTACAGTGTTTCAGCCCAGACTGCGTCATTTACATAGATCAGTTTTAAAGGGACTGTAACAAAACAGCCTTTGTCCTATAAAGAATAAAAAAAGGTCATCAAATGTTTTTTTGCAAAATCTACTTGTGGGATAAAAAAATTCACCCATATATAAAATACCAGCTGTCCTTAACGTTATTTGAAAATTTAATGACAAACGGACAAAGAAATAATCAAACATGACTTGGAATAGAATCTTTTTGCATTAACGTCCATTATGCGCTAAGGATGCTTTTTTCTTCTCCCATTATGTTATCATTTTGGAGATATGAGGTTACATTCTGACAGCAGTGTTATATAATTACTCATATGAAAGTGTGAGTGCATATGATGCCATGTGTGTCAATACTATTTTTAGTTTACAGCCTTCTCTATAAATTTCCTAAGCATACCAGTACTGATATACTGAAGCATGCATTTGCCTGTTTACCCTGTTTGTGATCTGCAGTGCATTGTCTCTGTGACTTTTCACCTTGTGTTGCAGTTTGTTACAGATGCAGTGTCTGTGGAGAGACTTCTAGGTAAAGGAGGAGAGGTGGGCAGACCACAGCCCGTAGAGTACTGCGTGGTTTGTGGAGATAAAGCATCAGGTACAAACACACACGGAGCTTAAAAACAGAATGCTGTCTTATTGGAAAAAACACAGTATACGTGCTCCATGATTTCGCAAGCCTACAACAGCATATACACATTAGTATTTATTACACTCTAATATGTGCTAATATGTGTGTGTGTGTGATTGTGGTTCTTTAGGGAGGCATTATGGGGCTGTTAGCTGTGAAGGCTGTAAGGGCTTTTTCAAGCGAAGCGTCAGGAAGAGTCTGACCTACAGTTGCCGTAGTAACCAAGACTGTGTGGTCAACAAGCACCATCGCAACCGCTGCCAGTACTGCCGCCTCCGGAAGTGCCTTGAGATGGGCATGAAGATGGAGTGTGAGTTTGTTAAATACACACACATCGACATGCTCATGAACTCACACCCACTCACACAAATGCACTGCAACATACGGTACTGTGCAAAAGTCAGAGACCACAGGTCTTTCGTTGAATTTCTAGTTAAAATGGTCATTAAGTAAGAGTTATTCAGTTTTCAGCATCAGGGATAAAAAGCAAAAAAACATTCTTCATTCTTTCATTCTTTTCAGGGGACTTGCTTTCAGTTTTTCAAAGACATCTGCAGGAATATTTTTCCACACCTACAAAGTTCAGTTTTAGTAGTTGGTTGCATTTTGTGCTTCTCACGTTACACATAATCCAAACACATTCAGTGATTTTGAAGTCTGTGTTCTGGGGTGGCTAATTTATTGTTTTTATTTTTGTCTATTTCCTTTTCTCCTTTTTCTCAGCTTCTTGCCATCTGCACATCCTTGCCACCTGCACATCAGACCCATAGCGTTGAGTTGTCTTCTCACAGTGGAAGGATTTTTTTTTAGGTCTGAAGCAATAGTGAAGCTACCGTTTATCTAACTTGTACTTAATGGCCGTTTTGACATGAAATTAAATAAATGAAAGAGGTTCTCTAACTTTTGTGCAAAAATATTGAAAATATATGAAAGGATTACATATGTTGGTGAAGAGGGTCTGTTATGTGCTGGAGTGCTTCAGCACCATGTATGTCAAGAAGCAAAGCTGGTTTCAAAACAACACATCCTACCTACATAATTACATGCCCTGAGTGTTTTAATTTAATAGGCAACACTGCTTTAGAACAGTTTATACATTTTGCTGTTGAACAAGTTAACCTGACCATGTGTTTGTATGTGATACCGCAGCTGTACAGAGTGAGAGGAAGCCATTAGACCTGCCCAGAGAGAAACCTGCAAACTGCGCTGCCTCCACTGAGAAAATCTACATCCGAAAAGACTTACGGAGTCCTCTCATAGCAACACCAACCTTCATCACTGAGAAGGATGGCTCACGGTAAGATTCGCTAATGTCTTCATTTGACAAACACTTAAGGCTAGATGTTCATACAAGCACAGACGCAGCCTTTATGCAGCTGCAGTGCGCGCTCACAATGCAATATTCTCTCAGAACACGTTCAAGGCTCTTGTCTCTGTTTAGCCACTATTTCTGCTGCTATTGTCAAAGGACACTTTTGAGACACTACCATTTATTCATGGTTTTAAAAGGTGAAGAAAATTCCACACAAAACAGGCTGCTGCTATTTGCCCAAACTTTAGTAAATATTTAGTGCTGCTTTGGGCAGAATGCATTCTGTTTTTGTTTGACACTAACACAAAAGGTACACTGGATGTGCTTTATGTTTACAGTTTGGCTCTAAAATACGCACATACAGTTTGTACATACACAAAAACCTAGTCTCTGCATTTACCTAGTCTCTGCATTTAAAATCCTAATTTCGTGCCCTGATTGGTTATTAATCTTGCCATTCATCTTTGTAGATCTGGGATATTGGACCCTGGGATGCTTGTGAACATCCAGCAACCGCTTATCCAGGCCGATGGCACATTACTCTTAGCTACAGACACCAAGGTAACAACATTTTGCAATATAGACTTTTAAAATATTTTGTTACACATACATGCTGATATTTCAGGACAAACTGCCATATGCTTAAGTTTAAACATATTCAGTCAAGTGGCACATTTTTTGGATTTTCTAATGTGTAAAAATAAGTTAACACATCCACTACAGGGAACAAACTTAAACATGGCAATTTTTCTGCACATTTTACTGCACACTTTCTATGTATTTGCTTAAAAAACGTAAAATAAGAAATGTGCCAAAACGTTTGCACATAACACATTAAATGTTTTATTTTTTTCCCCAAGATTTTAAATTCTGCAGATAAACAGTTAATATGCATTAAAATGTGCAGAAGTGTGTTTTCTGAAGATGCGTTAACTAATTTTCTTTTTAGAAAGTCCAAAAAAAATATATTTTGACAAGGGGTGGCCAAACTTTTGCATATAACTGTACTTTATATGGCTTAAACCTTTAGACCTTTTTTCCAGACATGCATAAAACCTTGTATTAATTTGCAAAAATTTACTGGGATTCTCTTGAAGCATGATCCATACGGTTTAGGGTTTATTGTGAGTCAAAAGTAAATAAATTTTTTCACTGCTTGATTTGACCCTCAGGCTGAGACTGGTCATGGTGATCTCGGGACGCTGGCCAATGTGGTGACGTCACTAGCCAACCTAAATGACTCGCTTAATAATGGAGACACCTCTGACAGCCAGCAGGAGGAGTCAACCAGCGAAATCACACGGTACTGTCTGTGTGTGATGGAGACACGTTAACACATTTTTGGTGTAAACAGTGCACATAAAATAAAAAATGTGTGTATAATGTCATTGTGTTTATTGTAAAATGTGTGTGTGTGTGTGTGTGTATGGGCGTTTATAGTGCCTTTGACACTTTGGCCAAAGCGTTAAACCCCAATGAGGTGGGTGAGGGGCAGAGCCTGTCAGAGGCTGACTGTGTGAGCGGGGCCACGATACAGGTGATCAGCAGAGATCAGGTTACGCCCCTTATTGAAGTGGAGGGTCCTCTGCTTACAGACACGCACGTCAGCTTTAAGGTGGGTACAAACTTGCTACATCCATGTATTTTGGTTTTGTAAATGCTTGTGACAGAAAAAATATCCAAATTTGCAAAGATATAATTGAAAGTAGAGCCTGACAGATATTGCTATTTTGTGACAGATAATGATTTTAAAGGGCAAAAATGTCCAATAATATACAGTGGGGTCCAAAAATCTGAGACCACATTGAAAATCTGGGATTATTTTCATGTAATCCTGGAAATAAACAGAACATTTTAGAATTCTGAAGATTAAATATTTGTAGGTCACTATTCAAATTTAAATAAATTTGTCACTGGTCATATTAATGCCTTTGTAGAAAAAGGTCAGTTTTTTTAGATAAAAGGGATAAAATTTATCCCTTCTTTTAGAAGACTCTCAGGTGGATCTGACATATTCTTCATTAGCTTTTGTCACTGTTGATCAGGGTCCGTGCCATCTGCATGCTGTCATTAAAAGAAGTGGGGAAGAAACTCTGAAATTCATGTGAATATTCAAAAATTCTATATTTTACTTGGATTGTTATGCTGATAATATAATTTGTAATGAAACATGTATCTTCATAAAAAATCTTGTGTTTAGTGTGTGTTCTTAAGCTAAAGATTTGGAAACCTTTTCTGTGTTTTTGTTATTTTATTCATTGTGTTCTTAATTATTCATTTTATTTTTGGTTAAAATTGGCCAGCTCTGTCTGTATTGCTATAATTTAGTCAAAGTGAGGGTCCCTTATATGGGACACCCAAGTGACATAACCATATTGAACATAGTGTTAATTCAGGCAGGCCACGAAGTCAAGCTCAGGCCCCAATCTCAAATCATTTAGTGTTATCAACTGATCTGATGGCTCACCTGATCTCCTGCTATGCATGTGATTGGCTATGGTCATCAGGGCACTTATTTAAGCTGATTTAGCCTATCCATTCTTGCCGCTCATCTGCAAGCCACTTTGCAATCTTCTGCTAGCCGTTGGTTTGCCTGGTATGATTGTTTTGTGGGTCTTTCTGTTGCTCTCCCTGCTTTGGGCAGTGAGGTCCCAGAACAGAGCCATACTGCCTAATATAACTTACAAATGGAAACAAAATATTTTTCTTTGATGAAATGGTCCTGACTGAAGTGTGGTTTTGCCATATTGACAGGATTGTATTGTGTTTTATGTTCACATCTTGGCAGTACTGCAAAACCAATCGCTCATTATCAGTGCCTTATCTGCGATAATTTGGCAAATAAAACCTTGGCCCAGCAACATAGTCTGATATTATCAGCCAATTGTTGTATTGGTCAGGCTGTAATAGAAAGTGTTTCCAATATGTATATACTGTAATGAAAGCTTTAATTTCAAAAGGGCAGACTTAAGTTCTATAGTCTAATATTTTTGAATGCTATTTATTTATTGACCTTTTTTCGGGATAGTTTATTTTAGCTGGGGACAGACCAACTATTCAGGCATGGAGAGCTTTATAAATAGTAAATTATGTTGACAGTTCTTCTTGACTGGCAAAAAAAAACAGTGTATGACATGAATCTGTCTCTGGTTCTCTATGTGATTTCTTCCTTGTAGCTGACGATGCCCAGTCCGATGCCAGAATATCTGAATGTTCATTATATTTGTGAGTCTGCATCTCGTCTGCTCTTTCTCTCCATGCACTGGGCACGCTCCATACCAGCCTTTGTTGCTCTTGGGTGAGTGCTGCTGAAAGTTTTGAGTAATGTTTTTTGTAGGAGTGCTAAACACTCTTTATGCCTGTAGTCCACTTTGTTCTTAAGCAAGCAAGTGTTTTGTGTGTGTGTGTGTGTGTGTGTGTGTGTGTGTGTGTGTGTGTGTGTGTGTGTGTATTGTAGGCAGGAGTGTAACACGTCTCTGGTTCGGGCATGCTGGAACGAGTTGTTCACGCTGGGTCTGGCTCAGTGTGCTCAGGTCATGAGCCTCTCCACCATCCTGGCTGCCATCGTCAACCACCTACAGACAAGCATACAGGACGGTATGTCACCCCAGTGATTTCTTCATAAATGGAGTACTATGCTGCGAGTTAGTGTTGCTACATAATTACATTGGTTAAGACCAAATAGACTGTTTTACACTAATAAATTATTTTATAACTATACATTTTTTATGGTTTGTTAAAAAAATTCATCACTTTCCATTGAACTATGCAAGTTTAAAAGACCCATATCCTATGTTTTTCTTTTTTCCCCTGAGGTCCAATTTGTTTTATGTATCAAAACCAGTCATAAATCAATATAACTTGACCGTTGTACAACATCTCTAGTTCCGTTAGATTAAAACAGGCTTACTGTGCCTTTTCAAATTGATATATATTAGTGAGCTCTGTTCTGATTGGCTGCGCTGTGTTGTGCCTCATTCAAAAAGCAGTCTGAGTGGAAACCCTCTTTATAAGTTTAATGTGAATGGGTGGAGCTAAACTGCTGTATGATGACCATATCAACATTATTAGCAACCAAACTGTTAATGTCAGAGATGCTGCTTTTTTCAAAACAGATTGGATAAAAAGATTGTAGTCAGAATGCCTTTTATATATCCTGACTGAACCACACAGCTCATGGTGAAAAGCAGTTTTTGTGTATTTTTAAGATTTGAAGAAATCTGCATAAACATTACAGTTTCATCCAAACTACTCAAACTACTGTTGTTTATCACCTTGCATTGAAAGTACGAGAGAGACTGATAACTGTTTAGTGAGCTAAAACATATTTCTCTGAATGATTTACATTTCTAACACTTGTGGCTTAACATAACAATGGCTAAAACATACTAATAGGCCTAACAATCTAGATAAAAGTAAAGGAGGTTTGTGGTATGTTTTCTTATCTTTTGACAAAGCATCAAAGACGTTCTGAAGTTGACAAGCTTGTCAGCTGCTTAAATTGCTATCAACTTTATAAATAGTGCTTTACAAATTTAGATATAGGGAACTGTTTGTAATTAGATTGTTATAATGTTGTAATTATATTATATTACGTCTCATTGCTCAAAAGCTTCTTAAACTGCTTATATTTAGGGGGTAATCTACACTCAACGTTTGAAAGTAGTTTGTAGTTGCTGCTCTCTTATAGCAGTATTGTTTTGTTTTTTATTGTTTTGATCCTGTATGTAGTGTGAGGAATATGAATGTTGCAAAATGGTTTAAATATGTGAAACAGTGTTGAGCGGTCCATGGTTACAGTATTAGTGGCATTATGATGCTGTGGAGAGAAAAGCAATATTCTGGTTTTATATCCAAGTAGGGGGTAGCGTTTCAGGTCATACAGATTGTGACCAAGGTTGCTAATGACTTGTCTCCTTCATAAAGACAAGCTGTCTAGTGAGCGTGTGAAGCTGGTGATGGAGCACATCTGGAAGTTGCAGGAGTTCTGTAACAGCATGGCCAAGCTGGAGACGGATGGCTACGAGTACGCCTACCTGAAAGCCATTGTCCTTTTCAGTCCAGGTACACAGGCTCTTTTCTGGGTCAATGATGAATGAGGGGTTTCAAAATTATAATTTTTTAAAGTTTAAAATTTATAAATCATTAATTAATAAAACAAAATGTAAAAATTATTTAAAAGGTTATGATATATGATGTATCTGCAAGAAACTGTTTAATGTATTGATAAATGTTTCATAGTGTTATAATGGTGTAAATTCATTTTTTTAAACAGGATTGTCAATTTTGCCATCCAGAAAATGTCAGGCGGTGCAACCACAAATTAATAAAAAATATAACATTTGTAGGTTATTTACAGCTACTGAAAATGTGTATAAACTAGTCTTTGTACTTGGACACGTGTAAGAACCTTTGTCCTTAATCTTAAGTTTGTAAGTGCACTTTTTCAAGTAAATAAACATAATAATAATAATAATCATAACACATTTTCATTGTTTACCACATCAGGTGGGGTGACACCAGTTGACTTTGTGAACTTAACCGTCTTGACCATGATTTAAAAATAATTTTTTTCAGTATTTGTAAAAGGGCTTTTGAACTTGATGTAACTGAATTACCTTTTTTAAGGTTAACTTAATATGCATATATGTTTAGACAGACTTTGTGAAGCATAAATGCCTGAAATGACTTTTATTGTGATGTCCTGAAAATGTATTCACATAAATGAGGAATGTAAATATAGCAGAACAGATTTCCATTAAAGTATTTCCCTTAAAAGATCACCCAGGACTGAGTAGCAGCAGCCAGATTGAGAAGTTCCAGGAGAAAGCGCAGATGGAGCTGCAGGACTATGTGCAGAAGACCTATCCAGATGACACTTACAGGTACGGTACTTTAAACTTTGATTTGATCACACTTCTCCTCTGCTCACACTCTTTTCCTTAATTGTTGCTTCTTCTGATTGAATTTACAGGCTGGCACGAACTCTGATGCGTCTGCCTGCACTGAGGTTGATGAGCTCCAGCATAACAGAGGAACTTTTTTTCACCGGCCTAATCGGAAATGTACCCATCGACAGTATAATCCCTTACATCCTGAAAATGGAGACTGCAGACTACAATAGCCAGATCACCGGCCCTACTGCATGACTACAAATGTGACCTGTTTGGACCCGCAGATACAGACTACAATCCTGCATCTCCCATTATAACTTGCCTTCATGCTGATGGATGCAAAAGTTATGAAGATTGTTGTTCTGTTTTTTTTTCTTCTAATGCAAACTAGCTCTGCCCGCAAAAGAGCCGTAGCAGTGAGGCCATCTGACTGAAGGTGGATGTTACTTCAAGATTGATGCATTGTAGTTCTCTTAGAGTGATGCATCATGGAACTTTGAGTTCTATCATCTTTTGTTTCTTCTGAAAACAGCAATCAACATTTTTTAAAGCACTTCAGACTTTTTCCAGTGAGAGAATTTTGAGACTTTAGGGCTACTTGGAATATTCACCATATACAAGATTTTGTATTATTCAAGAACTTCAATATATTGTGGGTTTTAGACTCAGCCGTCAGTGGAGTACATAGACTGTTGGCATTCAGTAAGCATCACAGTAGAATGTAGAAATGGGAGTTCGTCAAGGCCAAGTGTCCAGGTACAATCCATTAACACTTGACATGATTTCTTATGCAAAAAGCTGCGTCAGTGTCCCTATAAGATGATGTGCAGTTGTATGCAAAAGTTTGGCGTTCCTGGTCAAATTACATGTTTTGTTCATTTTCTAAGTGAAAACAAGTGCATGAATTTAAAGCAGCACCATGAATTTAAAGCAGCACCATGTAAGTTTTATTTTGTTAAAATTGAAATAAGTAGCATTACTGTCAGGAGAAAAAACATGCGAAAATATGGTGTCCATGGGCTGCTGTGAGTCACCTTGTAAAAGCCTGAAATATTAATTTAAAAGTTAAGAGGCATCCGGTGGGATTTTACAAGAGTTTTTCAGACCACGTCATACGTCTTTACGTAATAACACCACACACACAAAAAGAAGGTCCGGCTTAGGTCTCAAATGCAAAGTGAACATTATACTGATGAAGGCATAATGACAAAAGTACATAATGCTCGAATTTACATCCTTGAAAGACACAGCCTTCACAAAGTTTCGACCGAGTTGTCTCTGAATACTCTTTCAATGCACTCACAAACATCAGATTCATCAGCTTGGGAAAGGGGTCGTACTTCTGCGAGGAACATTGCATGCACTTACACATGTCCACCATCCAAATCTTACATAGTGCAGCTTTAACATATTGAACATATTGGGGCAGAGGAAAAAATGTGGCTTGTACAAATTTTATGGTGCATTTTATATTTTGACTTTTTAAAAATATGTTTAACTCAGCAAATAAATAATTGCAGATAAATGCCATATTTAAGTCTGTAGAGGAAGTGTCAACTTTCGTTCTCTTAAATCAGCAAAAACGTGTAATTTGACTGGAGGTGTTCAAACTATTGAATACGACTGTATATTCAAATAGCCTTGTGTCAAATCTACAAGACTCATCAGAGGAAGAGCTCTGACCTAGGATCATTTTTTTTACTTTTACAGTGTGATTAATATTTCTTGATGTGCAAAACTGATGCTGATCCTAAACTAGCACTATTACTTCTAAGGGCATCCTGCACATAGGTCGCACCAAGCTGAGTAGCAACACCAGTAAATTCCTGTTAGGCTTAATTTGGCATCTAAATACCCGATGCACATAAAGCCCTTATTTCCAGCTGATACAATCTTTATATTTTTGTTTTTGCCTTGCAGCCATACTGGAGAGTGGGAATCCATTATTGGTTGATTTATTACAGAACACCTCTGCTATCCGGACAATCAGCATACAACAGTATGATGCACTTATCCTGGACATTACGTCACCTTTTTTCCCTCGTTCATTTTACCCACCCTTCTTCCTTTTCAGGTGTATTTATTTTAAAGATTTGTCACTATAACGTGAAGAACCAGAGACAGTTCCGTTCTTTATTGTCTGCTTTTAATGTTTTCTTTGAAACTATCAACTTAAGTCACATATAGGAAGTTCTCAGTTTATTTCACACCTTTTTCGTTGGAGACTTTTTCAGCTGGTTTCTCTTTGGATCCATCGTGTCATTAATTTATTTGTTGTAAACAAATATGCCGTTTTTGCGCAGTATATTTCATTTTGGTCTGTCAGTTGCAATCATGACAGCTGTCTTCTGTGAAATGTACTCAAAGTACAGTCATGCACTTATGAATATTATGAGAAATTGTTAAATGCATCATTTTTTGCCTTTTTTTTTGGAAGGGTGAACCATAAGGTTATGAGAGACTGCTACATACCTGAAATGTATATGTACTGTATGATAGCCTACCTAAATATTTGGGTTTAAAACCCAGTCAAGACTGTTTTTAATGCTGTTGTGATAACATGTCTAATGAGATTTATACTACATGTAACTTCATTAAAATGAATGCATGTCCATTTTTAATCTTTTTTTTTTCCCTCTGGCAATGAGATGTTAAGCTTTTTTTGTATATAGTGCATTGCAGTGCATGGAATAGCTTAATGCATTTTATTAAATGCTGTATCAAGGTGGAGTATAATTGTTGTGGCTTAGAAATACATATTTATCTGCCAGAAACTAATTCCATTTTTTTTTGGCTAAATTAACTCCTTTATGTACCTTGCAGAGAAATGAATGACCTCAGTGTCTTGTCCACAGAAGACTTTTTTTTAAAAAATATATATGTAAACCAATGATGGTGGTGATGTTCGGAGTGGCTTTTAATTTAATTTGTTTTATGTCAGTCCATCAAATTTGTGTTTCGATTTCACCGCTTTCTGCCCATGGAATGGAATTTGTAGTCATCACAAGCTAATTTTCAGATCCCTCAAAAGCTTGTTAATAATTTAGGTTGTTTGCCAGTGACTCCAAAGGCTAATATGACTGGCATGAATGATAATATTATTATTGTTGAAGAAAACAGTAGAGGTAAAGTCCTGAACAGTAAATATATGATTGTGAGCAAAGAAAAGTCTGAGAATTATTCTTAGTATTCACACAGCCTAGTCTGTGACAGATGCTCTGGGCTCAGCCTTGATTTTCCTCCATACTCAGTCAAAGCAGTCCATTTTTGTAATGAGTAGAAACTGTTTTAACTTCAGTGAAGATCTTCCTCTTACACTGTCCATGCAGACATTTACTGTAGTATTTAAACATCAAATAACTGATGTTGTCTATTCAGTCTATGTTTCGTACAGCACTGCTATTTTATAGACTGCTTCATGAACCAGCTAAAAAAATTTTGCATTTTTTGCAATGTTGTCAGCAACAGATTTGCAAATCGCTGCTGTTGGAACAAAACTCTGTCTCCGAAATAGTAACATACAAGGTGGGGAAAAATCCTTTACTGTTAATGAAAGTTAAGGTAAGTCATTTTTGACCTTGTTATTGTGCATTCATCATGATTTCGACACAATGTAAAGGGGCTGTTTACAAATTCTAGAAAAAATGCAGAGGTAGAATATTTTTGTCCAGACGGTGCCGAAATACCACAACTGGTGCTGTCCTGAAAATTTCCTTTCCAGCTGAACTCCATTGTATCAGATCAATGTCAGGTCAGTCAGTAAAATGTGTTCAGAATTTAAGCTCACAACTGCATCTGCAGGTTCCACTGCATGCAGGTTGAGAAGATACACAACCTTTAGCATCTGAATCACTGGCACATCACAGCTAACGTGTAGGTGGTGAGCTCCTTTTGCTTGGGTGTCATATTTAGCACTGTCTGCTCCTTTTCCAGCCACACTGATCCAGAATGTTCTCCCTCATTCACAGCGCTGTAGAATATTCTCTTCCCTTCACACTGTTCCAGAATGTTCTCCCTTATTCACAGTACTCTAGAGTGTTTCCACCTTTACACTGTTCCAGAATGTTCTCTATCAGTTAACACTGTTAACCTCCATTCACAATGTTCCAGAATGTTATCCCCTGTATTCACACTGTTCTAGAGTGTTCGGCCCCATCCACAGTATTCTAGAATGTTCTTCCCTTCACACTGTTCCAGAATCTTATTCCCTATTCATTGTTCTAGAGTGTTGTCACCCATTCACACTGTTCCAGAAAGTTCTCTGCCTTTAGCATCGGTATCCTCCCTTCACAATGTTCCAGAATGTTATCCCCATCACACTGTTCTAGAGTGTTCTCCCCATTCGTAGTACTTTAGAATGTTCTCCTTTATTCACACACCATTCTAAAATATTCTACCCCTTTTCACACACTGTTCTAGAACATTTTCTTCCATTCAAATTGTTCCAGAATGCCCCCCTCCCCCCCCATTTGTTCACACTTTTTCCTAACCATTCCAAAACCAACTGTCAACAGTAGAATGCTGTGACCTTAAAACAGGTGTTGGCATTTCCTGGCAGTTGTGCTTTCAGAACCTTGGAGAGCAACTAAGAGTCCTGGGATAACTTTGATTCCTATCTTCAGGCATGGTTATCCCACCCACACAGCCCCCACCAAACTGAGTGCTGTTTCCTCACTGTTGAGAGTTACACACCTACACAGACTGATGGCTGAGTGCCTCTTGAGTCATTGTCTTCAGCTTTGGAACAACAGATGAGATGATAAGAGGACCTACAAATAACACTAATTGTATTGCTGTTGTCATCTTGCTTTATCTTCTCTCTTTTTATTTTGGCCATTACAAAAATATCTTCTCAGCAACATTTCTCTGCTTTCATGTCCTCCACTCCTGCACCTTAGTGAGACATGAAATTGCATGTGCTTTTGTTATAAAATGGAAAAAGAAAGCCTTTGAAGGACATGATGAATGCTGGAAATCCATTATATTTAGTACACTTTGTTACGTAGTGTATTAAAGATATGATGCTTCTAAGCTCTGTAGTGTCATTAGTTCTCTTAAAATTATTCATCCAATACTTTGTTGTCAGTTTCCATGGAATGGTGCAAAAGTAACTATATATATATATATATATATATATATATATATATATATATATATATATATATATATATATATACACACACAGTATTGTTTTTGGCTGCAATATGTCTACATATTCTTCTTTACCAACTGCACATTCTTAATTACCAACTGAACACTGAGGAGTCAGTAATTCAGAGGATCCAGTGATGTTCGAGAGAAGAATGTTCACAGGACAAAACGTATCGGGTTCTGAACATTTTTATTTAAAACGGTGCGATAGAGGCGATTTTTCGAAAACCCTATTCATTCCGGCCATAGAGAAATGGGGTTTAGACCCGGAGTTCCTAATATGGACATAACGAGGACTACAGAATGACGCACGACTACAGTGGTCTATAGAAGGTCCGGCTCGATATTTAGGTCTGCTTGGAAGAAATGCCCTTCATCGAGTTTTGACTGATTTCTCTTACTCTTTCAACGCGCTCACAAAGTCAGATTCATCCGCTTATGGGGTCCGAAGCACAACCAACATTACAAAATGTTCTTCCGCGCGTTGCGTGCAGTTACAAAATTCCGCCACGAGAGGTCTCCAAAACCCCCAAATCCTATACTGTGTTGCATTTAAGCTTTTGGCATGATCAAAACATATATCAATGACACAGTGTGTTGCCTGAATATATATTTTGTCACATTACGAGAGTATTCCACCGTTTTTTAAATAATGCTTTTTATTAAGTGTGGTATCAATAATTATATGCTGTAGCTTTTAGGGCCATTAAATGCTTTTGACGTCTGGTTCCTAGTACTACAATGGTGAACAATTCTGACTCGACACATTTCTCTTAAAAGGCCATTTAACACCAAACCACTCTGAATGATTTTGTTTACATCTAAACGATTAAATAATTAAGTCATTTAAAAGAAGATGATAAATTACACTTCTTAACTGTTTTTTTTTCTGTAAAACCTGAGGTGGTGCTGTACAAAAACTGTAGGCAGTCTGGCTTGGTCTTAGAGCATTTTTCTTGCGAGAGCATTTTTCTTTGTTCAACATAAACGAGCGTCCTTCGCGGAATGTGACGTAATTACCCTCCGATACACAAGATGGCGACAAAACGTGCTTTCGTCCACAGTAACACTAAATAACGCAGCGCGGTGCAGAAGGAAAGCAGGAACATGAGCGAGCTTCTGTACATACTGGACTCACACGCTGTACATTAGACAGATTCAGTCATGCCGATGAAAGGGAGGTTCCCCATACGGAGGACGCTGGAGTATCTCCAGAAAGGAGAGGTTGTCTTCAAAAACTCCGTGAAGATCATGACTGTGAACTATAACACTCACGGAGAGCTGAGTGAGGGAGCAAGGTCAGTCTGCCCGACTCGCGCTGAGCGGCTGTTCTCACAGAGCTGCTGCCTTCACTGTTTTCTGTTCGTTAGAGAGACGCTCGGTCATTAGGAGGCACCAGTTTAGGCTGTTCTTGTGTAGTAAACATCTCTGAAGCGTTTCAGTGAATATTTTAATGCTGCGGTTCTAACTCGCTGTTCTAGAAGCCCGACATGTCGAGAAGAAACGTTTCTAAATTCACCAGGAGTTTCGAACAAGCAGTCGTACCGTCTAGAATCAGGTATTTTGTTAATAACATGCTATTATTGTTATGTATGAAGCCCCTAAGGTGATTTAGTGATTATTTTTAAGTAAGGCATGGCCACGAAATACTATATGGAGGCCACGACATATAGGGAACTTAACCCAGGATCTCAATATATTAATTTGTGGCCTCAATATACTAATTCGTGGCCACACCTTATTTACAATTAATCACCAAGTCACCTTAGGGGCTTCATAGATTAACTAACAGCCTCAATATAGGAATTCGTGGCCTCATTATAGTAACTTTTGTTTACTCAGTATAGTAAATTGTGGCCGCAATATAATACAATATGTCTTATTAAAAATAATCACCATGTCACCTCAGGGGCTCTGGAGTTATCTGATATTTAGTTTGGTCAATGAACTCTTAACTTAGCCATTGTTGCAGTATCTAGATAGATAAACAGATGTAGATTAGCTAACGCAGGGGTTCCCGAAGTCAGTCTTAGGGTCAGATTTTTGTGTTTTTCACTGTCTAACACACTTGAGTCAGTACTTGTTGGGCTTGTTAATTAACTGAATCAGGTGTGCTAGATGAGTCAAAACACAGAAATGTGAAGTATGTATCGGGTCCCCTGGACCAGAGGTGGGCAAACAACAGAGAAGTTACTAAACTAAAACTAGCATTTAGTATGTTACACAGTATTCTATAGTGCAGCACCGCACCCCTCAGCATCATTGGTGTGACAGAATTCACAGGTTTGTTTCCTTGTGTTATTAATCTGGTCAGTGTTCTTTCACCACAATACCCAACATGCATTGTGCAAATATGTCACAAAATCATTGGGAATCCTTTCTGGCCCAACAAATCCTGACAGATAGCCTCCAGTCTAGAGTCTAATAAGTACTTAGCGTAGTTTCATATCAGTTCGGCTGGAAGCTGTAATAAAAAAATAAAATGTGTGAAATGTTGAATACAAATCATTCTGTGCATAGTTTTAAATTCTGTTTTTTAAATATGGCATTTCCAATATCAGAAAAATCGATATCATTACCTTTTGTGCATCCTGAAAACGTCTTGAAAGTAATATCACATTTTTGCTTCATTCCCCCACTTTTAAAGGAAGCACACTGTGATTGGATTACAGTCCTCTTTCCACTTTCTGTTACTAGGAACTTCAGCTACACAGTCTGATAAACATCTTTTAACTCTTTGCCTTTTTTCCTTTTTTTTTAGGAAATTTGTTTTCTTTAAAATTCCACAAGTCCAGTACAAAAATCCCTGGGTTCAAATAATGATGTTTAAAAACATGACACCATCTCCTTTTCTCCGGTTCTACCTGGGTAGGTACTCTTTTACTAGCTGTATATTTTCTGTCACAGCAGCTTCTATACTACAAATCAATTAACGCAGCTGTACTTCTGTCAGTATTACCTGTTATCATCGTGTCTGTCTGAACAAAACTGCAGATGACGGAGAGCAGGTGCTGGTGGACGTGGAAGGAAAAGACTATAAAGAAATAACACAGCATGTGAAGAAGATTCTGGGCAAATCAGAGTAAGTCATTTTTGACAGGACCAGCTATCTTTGTCATAAAAACACAAAAACACTAGAAGTACATTTTTCTTCATGTGCTGAAATAGTTTCTGATTCAGATTTCACATGAAAGGAAAAACAGAAACACTAAAACATTTTCTGCAAAACCCGTTTTTTTGTCCAGACTGCTGTAAAAGTGACAGATGTGTCTGGTGATGTCTGTGGGCCACATTTCAGGGAGTCTTTGATTGTATTAAACGTGACCGTTTTATTTCAGTTATGTTTTTTTGTCTAATTGCTCATGAAATGGTGGGACAAAACCGGACACAACCGTAGATGACAGAAGGTGGTGTATGGAAAGAGCTGTGATGTATACAGGTTGTAGGCAGTAGTTTGGGCACCGTGGTTAAATGTTTTATTGATTTTTCTAAGTGAAAATAAGTTCTAATAACGTCTGCACATTTTAATACACAATTACTGTTCTTTTGCTAAATTTAACATACTGGGGAAAATAAAATAAAAAATGGCTCATTTTATACTTTTATTTTTTTCCCCCAATATGTTAAACTCAGCAAATTGTGCACTAAAATTTGCAGACAATTGCCATATTTGAGTTTCCTGTAGAGGATGTGTTTTTGACTGAACTTTTTATGCATTTCATACCTGCATATTTAATTTTTTATGAAGTGTTTTAAAAAAAACAAAAACACAAAAAAACAACCATCAGTTGTATTTAAGCAGTTGAGCAGAATTGTAGCCTTTGGCAGTCCTAGTTCTGGTGTCAGTCATTTTGGGTAACTGGCCAAATTACAGTAAATTTCCATATGTTGTCTTTTACAAGGTCTTATAGCAAACCTCAAGGAATGCAAAGGGTTGCACTGATACAATTGTATCACAATTGCTGTTCAGACGGAACGTTTATTGTAATTTACTAAGCTATCAGCAGCTAAGAAAGGATGGCTTAGTTAGCCAACAGTGACAGTTTTTGTGCCTGCTGTTCATTTCAAATAGTTTTTAGTTCTGCGTAGTGACAGCAAATGAATTGTCTATTCTTGCTCCAGTGCTCCTTTGTATGACATCTTCTCTTTTCTACTCTTTTCATCACAGTAAAGTTCTGCAGGCAGAAGCTTTGGCCAAGATGGAAGCTTCAAACCCAGCAAACTTCGGACCCAAGAAGTACTTCTTGCGGGAGTGCATCAGTGAAGTGGAGGGTCAGGTTCCTCACCCGGGCCGCGTGCCCCTGCCAAAAGAGATGACTGGCAAATACAGGACCAAAATGGCCGCTAGCTCTGAGGATTAAGGACAATAGGGGGCTTTGGGCAGCGAGAGATAATTGGGAAGAGAGAACTTTTTCATCCCTCAAGCTTTCCTGGTCTTCAATGCCTAAATGGACTGCATTCACCTCACATAAAAATACTATCAGTGCTTTGTCAAAGTGCAGAAGAAGGACTGATGGAATAACTTGCCACCTTGCCATGTTTGTCTTTTTCATTTGTAATATTAAAAATAAAGAAAAAGGATGTTTGTTTATTTTCTGGTGGGTCTTTTCTGCTTCAAAGTACATCTGTACAATATCACAGAAGATATCGTAGACCCTCTAACCCAGGGGTGCCCTATCCTGGTCCTGGAGAGTTCAAATACAACACACCTGACTCTAATATTAAGGTGCCCCTAAAAGCCTTCATTATCTAGATCAGGTGTATTACATCAGGGCTGGAACTAAACTGCAGTGGGGGGGGGGTCTTCAGGACCAAGATTGAACACCCCTGCTCTAACCAATCACAAGCCAACAAAGGAAATTAGTTTAGTCAGACTGCTGCAGTCAGATCTTTAACCAAAAAGATTCACAAAAACATGATATTGCAAGGTTTATCCTAATCATAATACATGTAGATATAATCACAATACTAGTATTTTGACCATATTGTGCAGCCCTACTCCAGAAGAAGATGACATGAACAATGACAAAGCAATAAAGATACATTTGACCACTCTATTCTTACTTGGTTATCTTTTATTAGTGCAGTGTTTTTGTTCTGATAGCTCTAAATGTGAACAAGCATTTTTACTCAAAAGCTACCAGACATTTAATTCACGTTATCCATAAACACATTACTAAGGCCTGCTTGTTAGAAGAACGTGTTTAGAAAATGTTCTGCATTTGGCCCTGTACAGACATGTGTTCTTAGTGGTACTGAAATACTGCTTATTCATGATAAATAAACCTCAACACAACAATCAAAAGAACATCAACAGTCGTCAATTAAAGTGAAGTTGTCTGTAGAGGAAGAACTTTTAACAGCAAAGAACTGGTTTAGTGTTAAACAACATATCCACCTCATATGTCAAGTTTAGATACAGAATTAAAATATGATTAAGCAAACATCCAACATTGCCACCGGAAAGGACTGTAGAAGACTGTAAAAGATGCGATACTGTGTAAAGAAGCCTTTGCAAAACTAGTTAAAGTTGCGATTACTTACATAAACACCTGTAGAATCTACCAGTGTAGAGGTACTACACTGCAACTGCCTGAAGGGGAAATTCTACCACTCACTTCCACAAGCTCATATGTGGCATCATACTAGGCCAACATGTGAAAAACGTTTTTCTGCAATGTTAACATATCAAATTTGTTCGCTGGCTAACGAACAGTGCATGTGTGTTTTTTTTTTTGTTGTAATTCTACCAAGATACGTTCATTAGGGGTGCCTGATCTGATGTAAAAAACAGCAGGTGAGTTTATTCATGCTGTATTTGAATGCTGCTATATCTGGAATGTGCTAGTGTGTTTTATGTAGGGTTGAATGATTTGTTGAAAAAAATCCAATTGTGACATTTATGATTAATATTGCAATCAAATGTGATTTTCTTTAAATTCAGCTCCAGGCCTTTTTTTGGCCAGCACATACAATTTAGGCTTGATGCCTGAATGCTGAAGTGTACCAGACTTCCAGTTAAATTTCCTAAAACGTAAAACGTGACAATTGAGGCTTTGCAACGAAAAACAGTGTATGTGAATTTTTTGGTAAAATTCGTTCAAGCATGGTATGGCACTGCTTGATGCCCTATATTTAAAATAAAGCAGTCATCAAAAATGTAAAGAAAACAGTTTGGCTTTTAATGTAAAAGGCTGTACAGTATAAAATAGACAATAAAACAAATGACAATCCAAAAAAAGGGTGAAATGGTTGATATGGTTTTTCGTTGCAGGGGCTCAATTGTTAATATTGTTGGAATTAAAATGCAGCTTATGTTTTCAAATTCCTCTTTTAAGAACAACCACAACAAAAAAATGTAATAGTTCAGCTTTAGTTTCATTTAGCCCACACAGTGTGAGCTTCAGGTTAACAGAAAACGCCAATTCGGCTGCAAAGAAATCAGCAACAGTTCTTCAGTGGTGGATTTTTTGTGTTGATTTCAATTAATGTATACAAACTACCTGTAAAAGTGTTGTAGTAATGCAAGAGATACATTCCTATATCTGTGTGCAGAGACATCAGACATGCTTTGCAACTGCATGGCCATGCTGAGGAAAACAAGTAGGCTAGTAGACAAATTAACTGTTTTAAAACTGTTCTTGTATCACTGGTGTCTCCAGTCCATTATTAAACTTCCATGATATTTCCCTCTTCTGAATGCTTTCTCTTTCCAAATGCCTGTACTAGCCTACCTTCTTTTTTGGATTTTTAAAAATTGTCTATTAACCTGACTTTACATGGAGTAATGAACACAGTTATTACTACACTTATTTTTAAATTCTCGTGATGTTGATGGTTGTTTTTCATCAAATCTTTAGAACTAAAGTCAGTTTTCACATGTTGACAGAAGTGTCATGCTCAGTCTATTGAAACTCTTGTTGGAAAGTAATTTAATAAAAGGCTAAGTGTCATTATAATAGGTATAATGAAACTTAGCATTTTCGTGCCTTGAATATAAGAGATATGAATTTGTCATTTGTATTGTCCCTGTGCTAAAAGTGCAGGACATTTCAGTTGAGGTGCTTGTTTGGATCCCAAGTGTTAGGCTGTTTCTTCCATATTACTAAACAATATTGGAACCTTAGACGTTACCTAAAATAACCAAGACATAAACTACAAAGACATAATGGTTTGTTCGTGTATGCAGATCAGAAATTCTCCAGGTATAGCTGTTAACAACTGAGTCTTGTTTTCTCCAACCCTATATGCCTCTACTGAAAAGCTTCAAAGAAGTGCTCATTTGTAAGTCCATGCCTTTGTGCTTCTGTCAGCACACTCCTATGAGGGAAGCTCTAGTCTGCTGTTTTGTGTGCGCATATCAGCAGAGAAAAATGGCAAGACATTTAAAGATGCTTTAAATGTGTCCTTCGTTCCAGTATTCTCTTGACATTTGACCACAACAGAAGTGAGACTGAAAAAGAGAAGGTTTGTGGACGGTGGTCAGTGCGTTTTTCTCTTTTGCTCCCGTAGGGTGCTCTGTAGCTCCTTCAGGTTTTGTGACAATACCTCCACTTCGTCTGTGCGTCCGCTCAGCTTGGCATCAAATATGTATGCACGGATGTTATCGATCTGCTGGAGCAGCAACTCTTCCTCGATTATGTCGTCCATTGCCGGGCCATCATCATCTTCATCGAAGGGATTGGTTGAGGCAGATGGAGTCTCGTTTGACGTCTCTTTGAAGGGGTTACCTTTGTCATCGTCGTCAATATCGTCTTCAAAGGGGTTTCTGGGTGCACTTTCTTTCCCTTCTTTCTCCTCATCCTCAAAAGGGTTGTACTCTTTGTTTTTTCTGCTAGACGCTTGGCTATGTTCTTTCTGGATCTCCTCGCTGAAAGGGTTCATTGGGTCTTCCTCAATTGGAGTGGCATCTTCTTCATCAAATGGATTTAGGGAAGCAGTGGTGCTGCTGTTCAGCGTCTCTCCAGCAGGGGGAGTTGGTGTACGCTCGTCTCTCTGCAGTGGTGGCGAATTCCCAGGTAATCGTGGGAAAGACTTTATTGACTGAGTCTTAAGCAGTGGACTAAGCACTGGGCTTACATTCAAATCTTCTCTGGAGTCGCTTTCCGTCACCCCACATTCTTTTGCGCTCTTTCCTTCTCCGAAATCCAAAGAGCGCTCTCTGGTGTGCATTTTGCTCTCCAGTTCCCTCTGCTCCAAGTACTGGAGTTGGCTCTGCTGCAAGCTTTCCTCCTCGGCCAGCCGCTGAGAGAGCTCAATGGCCCGGGTGGTCTGCTGAGCATCAAATTCGTCCTGCAGTTGCCGCAGGTTCTCCTCCAGCATAGCAATCTCATCGGTGCGATTGGCTGCCCGTGCCTGCCGCAGAAACGACTCGATGTTGTCGATCTGCTGCAGCAAAGGGTCGTCCAGTTCACGACTGCGTGAGTGGACAGCATCCGAAGAGGGCAGCCAGCCCCCAGCTTTGGTCATGCGAGGGCCCTGGGCAGGCCGGGGGGCGTCTCCGTTAGCACTGAGGATTGGGCGGTTCTTCTCGATTTCAGAACGCCGCTTTTGTGCCTCCAGAGCTGCCTATATGGGAGAGAAAAGGCAGAGAAGACTAGTTTACGACACTGAAATAACAAGGACTATTCTACTGGAAAACCATGACCAAACTAGTTAGTATAAGTACTAGTAATTTGTATTAGTCAGTAAGTGACTAATACTGTTTTTGATTCAAATTTAATGTTAAAAACATTATGAATTATTAACTATTTTAGCATCTAGAGTCTTATGCAAAACTTTGGGGGCCCCAGTCAAATCATATTTTTGTTGATTTTCTAAATGAAAATAAAAAACACATTCTACAGAGAACAAAATTCTGCACATTTTCTACACATTCTGCACCTTTTAATGCACAATTACTGTTTATTTGCAGGGAAAATTTAATATACAGAAAAAAATAAAAACAGGAATAGAAAGTTTACTCCAAAATCTGCTATGTTTAAGTTCCTTGTAGAGGATTTCATTTAGAAAGACGAAGACCAATTATTTAATTAGGGGTGTTCAATCCTGGACCAAACATTGTACGGCCAATTAGCATTGCGCATGCTGTATGAGCAAATTATCACACCAATATGGTTTCTGATGCTGGATGACATACAAAGCACTATAAAATATATTTAATGGTACATTATAAACTAAAAATAGTAGAAGCGCCACCTTGTACCCTAAAAGCCTATAAGCTTAAATTATTTGTTAGCTAGATTAACCTTGTACAACTACATTAAAAACTTTAGACACCAAATAGGTCTTGGCTGACTAACTACATTTAGGATGAAGACTGTAGAATATTCACTGAACTATTTTAACATTAAAATTTAAAAGACAACAAATATATTCCACTTCTTATCATATGAGCCCTCACCTGTCTCTCCTGTTGGATCCTCTTCTCCTGCTCCTCCCTCCTCTTCTCTTTCAGTTCTTCATATTTCTCTTTTGTCGGAAGAGACATTAGACCCAACAGCTTCTCCTGTTGAAAAAAGTGATGAAAGTATATATGTGACAGAAGGGCTGGGTTAAAGGGGACCAATCACACAGGCAAACAGTCTTGATCAATTGGCCAGTCCACTAAACAGGCAGACAAAAAAAATAATGGCATATTGTGGTACAGTTTTAGAGATGTTGAACTGTTTTATTCCAAATATTACAGTGCATAATTTCTAAATCTCCACAGTTCCTCTGTGCTGTTTTGGTTTAGTGGGGACAGCCATGCTGCCCCAGCCAAAACAGTTTTGGGAGGCAAATGTTACTGGATTCTGATCTAACACGAGTCATTAGTTTAGTGTTCGTACTTTGGTAAGGAGCTTTATCTCATGTGTTGCTTTACTCAGTCAATACGCAGACTTGTGCTGTTGAAGGGTGTGCAGGAAGCAAAGGCAGTATTCACTGCATGTTGCTGAAAGCCAACAACAACCTGAACAATGACGAAAAACTCAAATTACGTGAACTTAGAGACATGTGTGTTCAAAAGCATATGAACACCTTTCCTAATTATTGAGTTCAGCCACACCTATGGCTAACAGGTGTCAAGCATATAGGTATGCATTCTCCACAGGCAAACATTTGCAGTAGAATGGGTTGCACAGAAGACTCAGTGACTTGTGATGTGAATTGAAATGTGGCACTGTCATGGGATGCCACCTTTGCCACAAGTCAGTTTGTGAAATTTCTGTCTTGCTAGATCTGCCCCGGTCAACTGTAAGTACTTCTGTTGTGAAATGGTGGCATCTATGAGCAACAACAGCTGAGCCATGAAGCAGTAGACGACATAAACTCACAGAGTGGGGGCCGCAGAGTGCTACACTGTGTGGTGCATAAAAATGGCCTATTCTGTGTTGCATGACTCACTAGAGTCCACCCAGTAGAGAGCCCTTCAGTTCCAGTGAAGGGTGATGTGAATGCTACAGCATACAAAGACATTTTAGACAATTATATACTTTACAAAAACAGTTTGGGGAAGGCCTTTTCTGTACCAGCATGACTGTGCCCCTGTGCACAAAGTGAGCTCTGTAAAGACAGGATTTGATGCGTTTGGTGTGGAGGAACTCCAGTGGCTGGCACAGAAACCTGACCTTAACCCCACTGAACACCTTTGGGATGAATTGGAACACTGATTGTGAGCCAAGCTGTCTCGTCTAAAATCAGTGCCTGACGCTACAATTGCTCTTTTGACTGAACGGGCACAAATTCCTACAGACACACTCCAGAATTTTGTGGAAAGCCTTTCCAAAAAATGGAGGCTGTTATAACCACAAAGCAGGCTCAACCTCCATATTAATGCCCATGGTTCAGGAAAGGGATTTCCGACAAGCTTACACAGACGTAATAGTCAATGTCCACGTACTTTTGGCCATATAGTTTATGTATTCGCTACTAGAGTGCTTGCTTGGCAACAATAAATTTGTCTCAGCTTAACAAAGTTACCTGAAATACACTAATGTGAACTAGTGCAATAATAAGCTGACCTTACACACATCAGTGAGTGTTCCGCTCTCAGAATTGCCTCAATTTTTCAAAGCTCTGACATGACACAGCATCTCTTCTGTTATTAAAGGAAGCGAAATGCAATCCCTCCTCTGAATATCTGCTGATGTAGACTGTCTCTGTATATGTATCCACGTCTCACCTGTACAAATAATGTTGCTGAGTAGCGCACCATCCTCTGCAGCTGGAGAGTCTTCGGGTGGGGCTGGACCTCATCTTTTAGTCCTAGTGTTAGAATCTTCTTACTGCCAAACACATTCACACATTGAAGTAGCGTCAGTTTCAATTTCACTTATATAAACTGATATACTGATAGACGTTCTAAGTTTGTAACACTGTTGCATGCAGCCTACCTCAAAGCATCAATGTGCTCATAGTATTTCTGCACCTCCAGCCTAAGACCACCAGCAGTTTCCAGGTTATAGCTCGTCTCACCAGCACTAGAGAAAGAAACAGGCAGGCTTTATATAAAGCTATATGGTGACAATATAAATAAGATAAGAAACATGTGAGTAAATGATTTATTCCAAGCAGGGAAACCAGGTTAAAGACTGTATAGTTAAGACTGTATGGTAATTGGCTTTAGGGATTCCTTCAAGAGACGGCCGATTTCGATATTTATCAGTAATTACACAGTACTTACTAGTAACTGGATTAAAAGTCAATAAAATGCTATGTTAGCTCCGAAGTAAGGTAACTTTATTTTGCATAAAAAAAAAATTCAAGCATGAACTCTATTTCTTTAATTCCTCCAAATGTTTCCTGCAACTGTACACACTGAAGGGATGGCATTTTCGTAGATGGAACTGACACCTTTGCTCTGTATTATATTTATGATATTTATTCCACACAAAAGCAAGAAGTCGTACTTAAGCGACTCGGCCATGCGGATGTACTCTGGAGCCTTCTCGTCCACCTTCTCCATACACATCCTCAACCTCTGTACAGCAGCGCACAGGAAGACAAAAGTCAACACAAGAAATGCAGCAAAGAGACAGGAAGTGACTGGTGGGAATTTTGCCAGTGTCAGAGAGAACAAAGAAATACTTCACATGAAATGTAAACACTAGATAGTTCTTACAGAGGGTAGCATGAGGAACATTCATGTAGGTGCTGTCAAAACCAACCCTGTATCTTTAAAATGGTAATGCTTTACAAAAAAAGGACATGGGGAAAAATTGGAACATGGGAAAAATTAATGGATTTCTTTCCCCAGTGTCAATCTCGAGCATTTCTATTGCTCAATTCATCAACAAATTTGAACACATTGTAAAGGGCAGGCGGTATTTTCCAATTAAACAAAAATGGAGATGGCAAGGTTTTATTCTGACAGTGGTATGTTTCTTCATACTCTCAGAGTAGCTGCTTTTTGCTACTGTTCTGCAAGCAGTTGATTCTTTACCATGTAGCATTTTACAACAAAAAATGGGAAGCAATAATTTGGAAAATTTGCTCCTGATGATTCTCCTGCACAGTTTTACTCTTACCGAAATCACTTGATACTCTACTAGATCCTGATGATCTAGTAATATGCATAGATACTTGAGTAACCTGTTAACTGTTCAAATACTGAAATCGCTCATATTAGTTCTGTTTCATCAGAGGAAGACCAGCAATTCAATGAAACACCAATTTTATATCAAGACTGTGTATATATCAAGACACTGAGCAGAAAAGACGAATTCATGATGAACATGATGAACTCATTCAAGTGCATTAAAAAATTTTAAAAAAAAGTGTAGAGCGTTAAGGCTTTTCTTATAGCATTGGTTATGGTAAGAGTACATGATTGCAAACTGATATAATACTTTGGGACAAATTCTAAACTAAATGTCAATAAATAAGTTGGCTGTTGGCAAACTTTATTGTAAGTCAACTGTATAACATGTTGAAATCACTGCTTAGTTCTATATCGCATGCCTGTAGTTTCTATGCAGATTTGTTATAAGTTTTGATACCTGCTTGACAATTAGCTAGCTAGGGAAAACACTAAAGTGTGCACCACTGTGGCCCTCATGTCTGACAGGTGCTCTTGCTCACTCTGTACCTCGTACAGTTTGACGATGTCAGGCACGTGGTCTTTCTCCTCCAGTTTGTGCTGGTGACGGAGCAGTGCGTCCATACAGTGGCTGCAGCAGCGGATACGGTCTTCATCCTTCTCCTCCAGCACAGAGCTGACTGAAGAGAGGCTGCTTATGGAACCACGGCGTGGAAGCTGCTGCTGCTGCACTACAGGACCTCCTGCTCCAGGAGACCCAGCCTTCCCTGGACTGCCCGGCACACACAGCGCCTCTCGAGTGCTGCTGGTTAACTTATCTGAGAGCAAACACACAGTGTGATATAAATAACAGGCTTCACAAATGACAAATCACACATTGCAGCTTTAGCAGCTTTAATATACAGTGATGTGCAGAACCACTTAGGCCACCCGAGAAAATTATATTTAAAAGGTATTTATTCAGTTAACAAATGTTTACTTGCTTATAAAAGACAAACAGAATAAATATAAACTAACGTTGATACAAAAAAATGTGATAGTGTGTTAGCACAATCATTTCTGAATCCTCTCCTCAAGGCAGTTACCAGCCACTTGATTCGATTAATCCTTCATTAAGTCAGATATGTCAAATATACATCAAATGTTCATATTACAATTTTTTTCAAAGGGTTTGATGTAGTATCTAAACCTTTTTCCAGTTTCAGATTAAACTGTTCACTTCCCAGTCGATGTGGTCCATGTATGAAAAATAAGTTGCATAAACCAACCAAAACCAGCTCATTTACATATATCCACCTATTCTGCCTACAGCAGTTTAGCCCTGCCGTTCACACTGACGTTATAAGAAGTCCTTCAGTCTGGATTGTTTTTGGTTAAGACACAATACAGGACAGCTAATCAGAACAGAGGTCATATACATATATCAGTCCTAAAGGCACAATAACAAAATTTCTTTTTCTGAGAAAAGGCTTAAATAGACAGGTAAAAAAAAACAAAAAAAAAAACAAGAAAAATGCAGGAATCATTGCTGGAGTGCATTGAGAAGAAGACGAACCAAACCTGTGTTCCTATAACCATCTCATAAGACAGATTTATATTATTATGTATTTATATTAATTTTATATAGTGCTTTTGCCAACAAGAAGACGCTTAATGCCCAGATTAATAGCTTTAAGTTTACAGACAGTAACAACTTACATGCCAGCGGGAGGGGCACAAACTCCATGCACTTCCTACACATGATGGAGCCACAGAGACGGCAGTGATGGCGCCGGTTTCTGATGTTGAACTTGGCTCCGCAGTCTGGGCAGAACGGTACGTCCTGATCACTCACCCACGGCACCACTGACTTCTCCAATGCTGGACAAATAAACAATGTTTCATTTACATCACTGTAACTACCTCACAGCAAAGACATCATTCTAGAGATTTCTTTTCATGTCCCTTGCCTACCTCTTATCTTCCCAGCATCCATGTTGGTTCTGTCGAAGGAAGTAAGCTGGAACGAAAAACAAACAAAAAACCCCACGAGATGCAGTGGGGCAAAATAAATGAACTTCAGGGTATCACCAAGACTATAAGGAGTTGAATTGGCAATAGGATTAGAAGTTGATTGTTTAGTCTAAACAAACAAATATCATGGGGCTCCTAAAATTGACATGTTCACCAAAGCATTGTGTCTCTGTCGGAACAACACCTTTCTCCGTTTTTTAATACAATTTTACTGTGTGCCACACATTCATGACAAACGGCCCATGAGAAATAGACAAATTGACACACTATGCTGATTGTTTGCTATCAGGCTGATCATGGCTGACCGTCGCCAGTAATCAGTGTGGTGTGTACAACACTGCTGGCTGTAGTCGGTCGTCATCCGCACTAATTTGGCTGATTGAGCATGTTGAACCAGTGTCGGTGGTCAGCAATGTGAGAGGGTAAATGAGAAAAGACATTTTAACTACTCAAAATCTCCAAATATTTAAACAAAAAATATATGATTATCATATTCCCAACAAGAAAAAAGTTTACATTGCTATGAACAAACAAGGGTGCATAAGAGCTCTAAAGGTGCCCTGATAACATGCTAACATAAAATAAAGCAACAATAAACAGTGATCAGTCTGCCTACAGGAAGGAAGTCAAGCACCTTGTCTCCTGGTGCAGCAGCAACCACCTGCTGCTGAACATGCAAAAAAAGGTAGAGATGATGGGGAATCACTCAAGTTCCTGGGCACTACCAAATCTAGAAAACTGAAGAGGAACATAACCATCTAAATTCTTAAACCTTTTCAATGTACTTATGAACATGCGACTTTAATTCGCTGTTTAGTGTACAAACATTTACTTTTAAGTAGCCAAGCGTGGTTTACTTTCACTTTCACACACTAGGTTTAGTGTCAAAACAGACACCTGAACCTTATAATACGTTCAAAATAATATATTCTCTATACGCTACAGTTTTACAGTTTTAGACTCTTGCCAACTCCCGCTATAGAGAGTTGCTCTCTTTCATGTGTGCATGTACATGTCGACTGTCAACTGTAGTCTTCGCCATGAGTGCAAATGCAAATTTTCACAGGAGACCAGAGGCGAGAGCAAGCTGACAGAAAGCGATCATCAGTCGGACACAGTTGGCACAAATTTTTAAACATCAGCTTAGAATAAAATCTTATTACATTAACTTACTTGAAGAGGTAAAAGTTTTTCCTTCTCCTGTAAAGTTACTTTTTTTGGAGATACAAGGCTTTGTTCCGGCATTAACGACTGATACAACAGAGCTACTGTTTAGTGCACACTGTATAATACTGTTTGGCCAAAATTTACCTTTTCCAGTCTAATGATGCGTTTGTTGACTTCGATGACGTAATGGTCAATCCTAGCAGCTCTGTGTTTCTTAAAAAGATCCAGGTGACTCCGAGTGGCTCCTAATTAAACAAACATAACGTTACATTAGACATATGTTATGTTATGTTTGTCTAAGTATTAGACAGTCTGTCTATGTATTAGACAGGCAATGTTAATTTATTTATTATGCTGTATCTAGCAGTAGCTGAGCTCAGGACTGGCTTTCTCTCTAACTTATTGGTAACTAGCAAAGATACTTTCTCTAGATGGACAAAGCACTTTTTGTAAGTCGCTCTGGATAAGAGCGTCTGCCAAATGCCGTAAATGTAAAGGTAAACAGAATTAACAACTCTGGCCTTAGACCAGTCCCAGGGTACAATTAGTAAACAATTATAGTCAAAATCATCTCCGGCCTAATGCACGGATGTCAGCATAATAAATAAATTAACATTAAGATTAGAGCTGGCATGATTTTATGTTTTCTTTCACCAAACAGATACTGAAAAGCTCAGTACTGATCAATAACAATCCAGTACTTTTCTCTGAAAACTACACTACACTTTAACATGTGTTATTTTTAATTGAAGTACTTTATTTTAGATTAAAGTCCAATGCTCAAACACTTCAAATACATGCTCTATTACCTCAAGTGGAGGAAATACATAGCCAACAACAACAAGTTTACATGTGGCTTCTGTTATCACATACTTCACTATCTGTGATTTTTCAGACAAGATTTGCTAACAAAACACTGAATTGTTTTCTTTTACTTTAGGCCTGATACTGAGTACTGGGTCGGTGCCATCTCCAATGACAGTGTTTGGTTTTATAGAAGAAATTGTGCACTGGCACCCAACAGTATTTCCAGCAGTCTCAGTCTCACCCAGTTCCTGAGGCTCCCACATGTAGGGGTCCACTCCCCCATAGTAGAAAGATTCATAGCTGGTCTCTGTCCTCTCATCTCCATCCCGCTTCAGGAGCTTGTCTTTGGCCTTTATTGCCTTCTGTACCAAGCCTAAATAACAACATGGAAAAACAAAGCTTCTAATTCCTTCTAGAACCATGTACGGCACAATGAACAAAATGAACAAAAAAAAAAAAATTGAACTGTTAATTGCAGTGATTTACATGGCAATGAATCGTGACAGGCCTGCCTAAACACAGCCACTTCAGGAAGGTTTGCCAGCTCTGAATGGGCTTGTTAATTAGCTGAGGAGCTAATCAGTGATCCTGGAACACTAAAAATACTAAAATGTGCAAGGCAATGATGATTCAGGCCTGAGAAGACTAAAGTAAAGAGCACTCACTCTTTATTTGTCCACCAACATGGCGGTTGTCTCCAGAGTGCTCCTCCTCATAGTGGTCCTGCAGCTGGTAGAAGGACTGCAGGTCTTTCAGACACAGGGGGCAAAGAAAGCCCTCCTTGACCTCAGCTGAGCCTTCGAATGGGGGAGGGTAACCGGAGGCCATGGGGCACAGGCTGAAACCGATGAACTGGGTGTATTATGGCACAGCTGGAGTAATCCAAAAGCTCATAGCACACCTGACTGAGGGCAGTGCCCACCCCAGACCTTCTCCATCACTGTGAGACACATTATAGAGGACACAAGCATTTGGAGATTTCAATCTGGTTAAAATAAATACGGAAGAAAAGAAGCACAAATCATAACCATAAGAATCAGAGTTTTCAATAAAGGCCTTATCACTTACCGAGCCACATTTTTAGCTATGAAGGGAAACTCCAATTTTTCAAACTTCCTACATAACTAAATGGTTAACATTAAATGCTTTGCTTTAGAGAAACTTACAGAAACAGAACTGTTCACATTAGCGGTGATAGGAACCAGACGTCTGAGGAGTTTAACTCCTCTAAAACCTTCCTCACAGAAAGTTACTACATGAAATGGTTACAAATACACTGCTGGATGTCTGACACTTTGTTTCACAGTAGCTTTGTGATAAGGTTTTGACCTAAAACATACTTTAATCAGTTTATTTTAAACTATTCTTGGCGAAAGGGTGTTCTAAGACAAAACAGTCCCCAAAGTAAAATTATTTTTTTCAGATTGATCATTATTTTACCATCATTATTGTTACGTGAAAACTCAGTCTGTACGTTTCTCTGCAAATAAACCATTTCACATCAAACCCATCTGAATGACTTTGTTTATATCAACCTCTGAATGAATAATAAAGAAAGAAAAATCGGTGGAATTCCCCCTTTAATGTTGTGTGCAGAATATGAAAATGTGGCCAACATTAGTATTTATGAAGGATTCATAGTCGTGAGAGGTTATTATCAATACATAACTAATAGACAGAATACGTTATATAATGTGAATGACTAACATTTTTAACTTGTATGCGATTCATTACGACTGGCTAGCTAGCTAACGCTAACTGTTAGCTCGGTGTGGACGGATGAAAGAGGTTTTGTAACGATAAGAAATGTATTCGTATTATTCTGGCAGACCTAACAGTCGCACTAAACTAGTTAATAACTCTGAACCTGGCAAGAAAAGCAAATAGTTTAATCAGCCAGGAGCTGTCATTGTCTTTCAAACCGTTATAATGCAACAACAACACAACAATAAAGCTAGCGCCACACTGAGCCACTGAAAGAGATAAACACTGAGTCCAAACCGGAGCACGAACCGACGCCGGACTCTTACCGAGGAGGAGCTCAGACACACAGCAGGTACCAAAGCCTTCCACAAGTCCAGAGCGGGTGTAAATGTTCGGCAAAGTCCAGCTGAGCAGATGAAACTCTGAGCGAAAGAGGGAGGACAGCAGCAGCCCAACCTCGTCACACGGTAGGCCATGTGACCTCCGTTCAGTTGATACGGCAGCTCGAAAGGGACAAAAAGTGAGTGTGCGAAACAAACAACTCCGTATCTCAAATAAAGTAGGAATTCCATATATTTGTTCAAACTTTCTGCATAATTCAACCACGAGACATAAACAAAGTCATTCTTTGCAGTGGTAGTGTTAAAAAGGACATGGGAGAATAGAATGACGTGGACTTTTTATAATGGGTAAAAAAATCCTCCTGCTTCTGAAATGACCTGTGATTTTTTTTCCCTCAAATTAACAATTTTCTTGGATAATTATCTCAAGGTAATAAGATAATTAAGTCGATTAAGTCGTGGCCATGACTTATTAAAGCATGGGAACGAGATCCTCGTGGCCACACATTATTTTGATTTATACAGGATGTCACCAGCAGGGCTCCGTAGCTTGCCAACAGTAATAGTTATATATTATGTCAGAGCGCCAGCTGAAACATGTTTTAAAATGCAAGTAAAGCTGTTTCAGAGAAAGGGTTACAGATACATGTGTGAGTAGCTGCAGCTTTCAGCTTAATGGCTGTAGGGAGATGCATGCAAGTGTTTAGAGAAGAATCTATGAGTCAACAAATAGGATGTCCAGAAAATTATCCCCAGAAAATGATCTTGAGATAATTATCCTGAGAAATTTATCCCAAGAAATTTATCTCGAGATAATTATCTTGAAATTACAAGTAAGAATGAACTCTTTTTGCAATATAATGTTTAAGCCTTCAGTGCTGGAAAATAGACAAAGAAAACACATAAAATGCACTGTATTTCATTTGTACAGGTACAGGTGTGTATTTCATGAATTCCATGCTGGTCTAAGCTGGTTTATGCTGGTCTGGTGCTGGTTTAGCTGGTCACCCAGAATGGTTGACCAGCATACCAGCATCCAAAATACAACATAAACTGGTTTTGCTGGTGACCAGCCATTCTGGTCTGTGCTAGTTTTTCTAGCAGGGTTAAACAGTAATGTAAATGAGATACAATCATTTAATGCATATAAACATTTTTGCAACATATAACGAATATAATTGTTAATTAATTAAATTAACAACATGTATGACTTGTATAATGTGTTCACTAATAACGCTCGAGTAAGCACACTTTTTATTTGTATTATTTTTTTTGTGTGTGTAAACGCTGTATCATCACGAGGTGGCGCTGTTTACTTCCAAACAACAGCTCTGCAGTTTCTTGTGGCGTTGAATCCAGACTTTTATCACAATCCCTCTGTAATCCGTAATCCATTAAATTTAGACTTTCACATTTAATTTCTTTAATAAAAAGCAACACTAGTTGGAATGAATGCTTAACGCTATAATGTCAGATTCAGAATTTGTTAGTCTACCTGGTTAAAATTTTTAATCTCATAAGTGGTTGAACACAAATCATACCATTAAAAGGTTCTGCTGGTTCCTGGTGGAGTCCACTTTTGGCTAATGCTATTCTGTGTTTTCCTGATGGGTTAATATCACAGTGAAGGACGATAGTAGTTCAGCAGGTGTTCTGGGATTGATTCCAGATGCATTTGATGGTTTCATAACAGGATCTAAAGGTGTGCTAAAGGAAAATAGTGGTCTCTAATAGTAACAAATGAGCCAGGTCCTCTTAGGAAGCAAAACCATCAGGTTTTAATCCTAATAGTTCTACTGGTCTTTATTAAGCAGGGATGTGCCCTATTTTAACATTTACTATGATCCTGTATTAGTATAAAGCGCATCCATATAATACCTGTAATACATATTATACAGTGTCAGAAGCGATGTCTTTTTTATACTGCAGCAGCTGTCTTCACACACACAGATTAAGCCTGGTCTTGGATTTTCTATACCGACACCGCCAGTGATACATTAACATATATAGCATTTCTAGAACTATACTTTTTTCAATACTTTCTTGTGAATAAAAAAGCCATATATTTTAGAGGGTTGCAGAGTAATCAACAGAGCCCTAACAGTAATAACAAGCTTACAGCATGTAGTCAGGAGTCAAGCATGCTAATTGGATCATGAATGTTGATAATTTCCCAAATGGAATAAAAAATTCCTTCACAGCAGAGAGGTACATGCTAAGTGCTGTAAGGCAAAACAAACTCAATTTTTTTTCAGATTTATTACTATTTTACCATTAAAAACATTACATATATCAGAAGAAAAATAAAATGGCTTTGCACTGTAGACATCAGGATCCCTAGCAGAGGTGTAATTGATGAATTACATTTACTCTCGTTACTGTAATTGAGTACAGTTTTCCCTGTAACGGTACTTTTTGGAGTAGAATTAAATCATAGTATATTTACTCTTACTTGAGTTCATTTTTAATGGAATACTTTTACATCACTACTTTAATTTTTAATAATGTTACAGAGTAAAAATAAATAATGAGGGTATCAGCTGAGAAACCAATACAAACAAAGCGTGGTTACATTTAAAAGATGCAGCTCTGGCAGGAAAAATACTACAGAGATGTCCAGTTTCGTGGAGAAGGACAGAGGAGAACTGAACCAGCACACACGAGGAACAGGCCATGTCCAAACGGTCATCTGTATTAATTTTCACATGAACTAAAGAAAACGGTGTTATTATCAGCGGCCAAACACGAAACCTGCTGAGATCCGCTCTCACAACTCGGCTCCAGCCAGAGGCAGCGTTAGCAGAGCTTTATAATGATTCTGTTTATTACACTGGAAATCTGCTACGTATATTTTATTACAAGTGCCTGTGAGTTACTTTAGTTAACGGGTGTCGCCCACAGCCTACAGTTTACCATTTAAAATATAGCCTAGTTTAGCTGCTGTTTTGGAGGTAAACAGTTGTGAACGGCTGTGATACAAGAAATCTGGTCTAATACAGGCTCTTCATAAACTCTGGACAGTGATTCTGTCGCGCTGTCGTTGACTGGCCTGATCTGATCCCTCCCCACCTCCCTGCCCTCTCTCTGTCTCTCTGTCTCTCTCTCTCTCTCTTTGCCTTGGTGTTTATCTTTGTGAGAGGTTGTTTAGCTGTTTAACTGTGAAATGCAGTAATAATGTCTAATTCTGTATGAAGTGATAAGCATGATTAGTGAAATATATTACAGTAACGATCAAAGCTAAGTTGCTGATGTTGCTGCTGATTTTAATGGTGTAAATGTTCTGAACAGATATCAGTGAAAATATACAGTTTGAAGGCTGTGAATGTGTTTACTGTCTGTAGAGGTTCACACCTATTAACGTAAACTAGAGTCCATGGAGCTGATGGGCAGCAGGACTCACTAAAATTACATTATTAATTAAGCAATTTACTCATAATTTTGACTCAGTTTCCCCCCCCCTAAAATGAATTTATTTAAACAGTAACAACCTCTGTACAGTCTTTCAGGGATTCTAGGATACTTTACTGGAAACAGATAAACTAGGACATTGTATATAATCATCTAACCATGAAATGCATGCAGTTTAAAGTAAACCTTGTTCCTTACACAGTTCACAGAAAGGTGTGTAGATGTGCACCATCAGAGCGCACTGTGATCAGTCATAGCTCTCAGAACTTTAGCTTTAGAGTTTTTCTGTACAGATTATTTCCAGTGATGTAGCCGAGTCAGCTCAGAAATATGTTCAGGTTGTGACAGTAACTTGGTCCTTAAGTAGTTTTTCAATGAACTACTTGTTTACTTTTACTTGAGTAAATTATCACTACAGTAACAGTACTTGTACTTGAATAGGGATTTTCAGTACTCTTCACACTTCAAACCATTTCATCATCAAACCACTCTTAATGACTTTAATTACATGTCAACAATTGAATTATGCAAAAAATTGTAAAATTGGTGAAATTCCTCTTTTAATCTGCATCTTGGAATCCAGCCCTAAAGTTTGGGACACCTCAAACGAGAGGTGATTGTTTTGAAGTGTTTTGTTGGTTAGATGGCAGAGCTGAGTGCACGTTCGGTTTCTTGCACCATAGCCAGTACACTCTCAGAAAAAAGGTACTAAACTGTCACTGGGGAAGTACCCCTCTTGTCACTGGGGTGGTACCCTCAAGGGAACATAATTGTGCCATAATCCATTGAAATTATGTTTTCTAAGCTGTGTTGACTCCACACACCCCTGTCTTGTTTCCAGGCTTTTTATTTTATTGTTCTGTTTTAAAACATTAGGTCATGAAAAGGTACAAATACGTACTTTTCCACTGGGCAAAACTTGTTTAAGGTACACAATTGGATCTTAAAACCACTGTTGTACCTTTGAGGTACATTTACATTGTTTGAACCTTGATGAATGTAAAATGTACCTGCACAGAACCTTTATTTCTAACAGTGTATTACACTGTGGATAATAGGATAAATCAGAAGTTCCTCTGAAAACAGCAAACTAACACTTCTTTCAAAGTCAGTGTGAATCAGAAATATAGACACATTTTTCTCTGATAACATGACAAGATGTCAGGGTGGGTCTCAGTGTTTTGTCACACGATAGGTGGGGGTGGTGGAAGGGGGAGGTGAAACATGACACTATTAGTTAATATTATTTTCCATGCCTGCTGGTGCACGGTGACGCAATCAAAACTCAGGTATCCCTATATTAACATCCACTAAACCCAAACTGAACCCACACACAATGAGAGGTCAGCACAACTCAAAATGAGATAACAACTGATTACATGGCTTTTCTTGAGTTGACTCAACTCAAGGACACAAAAGCTCACACAACTCAGACTTCTTAGTTGAGTCAAAAGTTCTGCATCTCATTTACGTAAATAGCATGAACTTGTTTTTAATACTCAACTTCCCCACTAGCCAGGACTCTTTCGATCACACAATCCTGCTAGACGTTTTTCCTCTTGGGTTTACACTTATGGATGGCTATGGTGTTGCTGGGGCTCAAACTGACAACCTCCTGTTGGGGTGACAGCTTAGTCCACTGCACTACATGAAGCAACATGAAGATTTTGTGTCTACAAATGTTTAGTACACTGGAGAAAATATCTGTTGTTTTAACTTTAA